GTTCAAGTAACTGTATTGGTCAACTTTGATATTTATAATTCAAATTATTTCAATTTAGGCTTGCATCAAATCTTGATTTTTCGAAAAAATCAACTACCATCGGTACACTTCAAAGCTGAAACAGAAGAATTTTGAAAAATTTTGAATAGGCTGCACTTTCCGATTCTGCCAAATCTTATTTCCATAGTTGCAACCTTCCCAAGTTCACAAAATTGCAATTCTTCAGCATTCTTTTGTTGGCCCTCACTCACATTGGTTAGCGGTACAAATTCTTTTTCAAACATCCAAATATTTATCACAAATGTAATGAACAATCTTCAGTTAAAACTTCAAAAAACCATAGGCTTCAACATAGTCGTCTTTTTCTTCTTATTCCTCTTCTTCAGGTTCTTCTGCTTCAGCTTTCTCACCTATAGGTGTGACAGGTTTGGGTTCTCCTTCAGCCCTCGAAAGATCCATTACCTCTGAATTTTCTGGAGCTACAGGATATTCTTGTTGAACATCTAGTAATAGTAATGAGAAAACATTATGTTCCATGTATTTAGGAAAAAAATACAAATGAAAATTTTCGAATATTTTCCCTTGAGTCGAGAAGTGAGAGCTCCTGGCCATAATTTGTTTATGACAATTACAATTGCGGTTATCGCTTCTAGGGAAGCATCATCAGGCAGAGAACTTATTAGTGGATGGCCCTGTCTTTGGTTCAAACCGTTCAACTTTCATTTTCCTAAGTTTTTCTGCGAGTTATTTCTCCATTTCTTCCTCATTTATTTCAGGCATTGGGCTAAGATACTACCACGAAGTTCTGCCTTATGACAAAATATATAGTGTATGGTGAACCCAGAATGACATGGATCCATCCAGAAAATCTTTCATTGGCGGTGGATCACTCATGGGGTTTGGCTTATAGGCGGTTCAACTTTCTAGTTTTGCAGCCTCTTCCGATTCATCCTCTTCCTCGGCTTCCCCTGCAGTACCTATTGTGTAATAGCTTATGGAAGATATCTGAGTACCTGCAGATATTCTGGCGATTTAAGCTGTCAGGTACTGATTTTCTTTTCGTGGAAAATATGTATAATAACATATGGATAGGAACATACATTTTTTCGAATTCGAAACACGAGCAACTACCTCGGATCCAGAAACGATTATCTTCATAACAACTTTTTGTTCATTCTATTTGCAGATCTCGATGTGAGAAGTTCTCTAGAAATTTTGTATTGTAATTTTGAGTAAAATAAATTGTTTTTGAACACGGTTTTCGTCTTCAAAGTTACTCGAATAGCACGACAGGAAAATCATTAAAGCCCACTAAGAGGGGTACCTGTGAGAAATTACCGATTCACATTGGATTTGCATCTTCTGGTGCATATCAAAAATGTTTCAAGGATTGGAAAAAAACCCAAAGTGTATTATATCTGAGGGGGACTACTTCGAAGGGAAAATAATAAAAATTGATGAATAAATTGATATTTTTTGAAAAAAAAATTAAAATTAACCTTATTTTTTTTAACAGAGTAGTATGTGAAAAAAAAGTCCTAGTAAATAGGAATTCTCAGTGGATTTCTAATGAAATATTTGTTTCAGTTAAAATTCCGGTCCTTTCTCACTGAAAATATTTTCAATGCTTATCCGGCAGTTTTGATGATGATGATAAAAATAAAAATAGCTTATCTACATGTTATAAATCTACAACGAGCCTTTAATCTTTTATTTACCAATGGTTGAAAACATTCCACTCAAGCATACTCAAAATATCGGAAAACTCATTTACTTAGTAACAGTAATCTCTGTTATTTATTATTTTCCACTTTCAAAAACGATATTTTTTCATTTACATTCGAGATATTTCAATTGGATCATGATAAAAAGTAATGAATTCATACGAAAAAAATACACTTTTTATAGTCCATAACATTATATTTCAGCCGGAAAGATGAAAACTGCTCGTACACTTTCACAAATAATAAAAATGATAATAATAATATTTCACTATCCACTTAACAGCCTATGTTGTATGGGATTCGTTGGATACACAAAAATCATTTTACCAAATAAAAATACATTAAGAAATTGATAAATATAAATTATCTTCTTCTGTCAAGTTTCGTACTTATGATGCACTGTTTGGAACCTTTGGTGTAGTAATGAATATTACTGGAGTTTTTTTCCCAACACCAAATCGTTATTTTTAACACCTCGACACGTGTTTCGATCACCAAGTGATCATCTTCAAAGAGGAAGATTGAAACTATAAACTAATGCGAGCTAACCCTATTTATGCTATATAGGTACCCATACAGGTAAACCATCCAGGCGTACCAACCATACAGGTATACCAACCTAAATTAATTTCACAATATTGCCTATCCAAATTTATTTTTGCAATGTGTGCTTATGTAGTAATCAGTAAACCCAACAACATTATTTTATTTTATTTTAACAAGCTATATAGTATGCTCTTTGGTATAAGTCCGTCATCGTTATTCATAATATTATTGTTTTTACTTATTTCTACACTCTCATAGGCATCTAGTTGCCTATTGTTGTTAACTTGTCTAACTAATCTGAATGAACTGAAATTTATGGAATGGTTTTGTTGCAAAATATGATGGGCGACTGCTGATTTTTCAGGTCTTTCATATTTTAAGTGTGCTATGTGTTCCTTATATCTTACTTTAATAGACCTTTTTGTCTGTCCATAATATTTTGCATCGCAGTCCTTACATTCAATTTCGTAAATTCCAGACTTTTCCAAATTCTCGACTTTGTCTTTTGGACTTCCCTTGTCAACTTTCGGACAAAAAGTAATCTATAGAACAAATACACTTCTTTACAAGCATATCTTTCAATATATTTCTGAAAACATTCAAGGTAGGGGTTTCGATATATGGTCGTAGCGGCGGCATAAATGGACATCGCCTCTGCAGAGATACACCCAATTTCATTCAGATTTAATATAGGGAGTACAGGCTCCAATATGGACCCTTGCGGTACCCCATCGTCGACTACTACTTGATTAGAATTGATATGATGCTCTACTGAATGGTTACGACAGAAAATGCTGACAGTCTGCTTCCTGTTTTTTAAGGAGGTTTCTATCGAATTTAAAGGTTCTTCGCATATACCATATTGAGCAACCCGAAGGCAAAATAAGCTGTGATGAAACATGTCGGTAGGAAACATGTCGGTAGGAAATATGTCGGTAGGATGTCGGTAAAACAAAGCGAACTAATAGTTAGCTACGAGAAACATGTTTTATATATTCGGTAACAAACACCAGAGAAGTCCAGTATTGCTCAACATGCAATGTAGAACGGCCACAGATTGAACGAGGAAAGCTCAGAAAATTGTCGAGACCGATACATGTCAACAAATTATTAGATGCTATTGAAAGTTTGGAAATCGCAAAATGTGGAACGAAATCTATGAACACCAGGTAGAGTCTCGGATTACAGGTAGAACTTAAGGCAATAGATAAGGGATGATTCGTCAAAATTTAGTTTTACTCACCTCCCGATGATGCTAACTTGGCTTTTTATGTCAAATATTCTATTTTTACTCATCAAAGCATACCTGATTGCCATCGTTTCTTCTTGCGTAGCGAAAATCTCAAACGGTCATTGGCAGGATGTTGTCATTTCTGAATCGTGACTACTTCATTCACAGGAGAGTTTTGATTAATTATATTGGCGCACCTTCCAGAAGAGGGTTCGACCTATATAAACTCCTCGCTGAAAAAATAATGTGTTTTTCTTTTCATGAGGAATATATACATCGGGGAGCCCTTGGGTTGGGCTACCTATCGGGCGCGTCCCCAGATAGCGGATAGGGGAACGGCCAGGGGCCTGGAGGCCCTGTCCGGGAAGCCAATGTGGCCATACGGACGGGGTCGCCGGACTGCTGGTCAGTAGCAGAAATAAGTAGAGTAAGGGGAACTGAAATCAGCTTAACTCTGGTAATGCGGGGCTCTGCCAGAAGTGACCAACTCTTCCCTTGCTACTCGTGGGAACACACATGAATGAAACAAACGCAAAAACAGAAACGACAAAAATAGAAACCAATCTCGAGGCAGAAATGCCCACCTCAATCTAAGGCAGTGGCTGGGGATGAACAGAAATGTCCACCCGAGTCCACCGCTTGGAATGATACTGGACAGATCACCTAGTGATATGTAAGGGCATTTGCGGCGCCGAAGCCAAAAGGAGAAAGAGAGCGAAGGAGGCAGGAGTGGCAGCAACTATAAGTGCACCCTCTTTCTCCTCCTCCACTCCACCTCCAACAGCAAGTGCACTTTCTGTGGTGGGCGCCAAGAGCTCCATCTTGAATAAAGGCAAGGAACCGGCTGCCCCTGCAGAAAAGCTACCGCACTTGTGCACCTCCACGAAGGGAATCCCAAGAAGAAGCCGCGCAACGACAGTAACGTCGCTGCACCTTCCAAAACCTTCGCGGAGGCCGCCGTGAGTCACCTCAAGGTTGCCAAAGAGATTGTGTGTTCGGCGAATCTTGGCCTACACCTGCCAATACAAAGGAGATGTCTCCTATTCCTTTCTCCCTGGAAAGGACAGGATGGACGATGACCTAGGAGGATAACTCCTCGGGAGGATGTACAATGGGTCACATGTGGCGTAAGTACTGTGGATCTACACTCAACCTCCCTACTCTACAGATACATCGGGGAGCAGGAATTCAACCCCGCTTTAGCAACAAATTGAAAATCATAGTGGCCAAAAGAATTTACGTATATCAGGACTACATTGAAATCGCAGTAGAGGTGAGTTGTCAAAATTCACATAAATAATGTCTCCTGGTGCTGAATGGAGTACTTAATGAGAAATTTCGAATTTCTTACCTCAGTATAAAGGTAAAATCTGAAATATTGAAAGAGCTTCTTCGATAATATTCACCCTATAATTCGGAGAACATCAATCATCATATCAAAAATGACATCAGCTCACAGTTTTATTTGTTCAACACTTGAATTTCCAGATGGGGCTTAGTATAAAATAAAACCGAGTACTTAGTAACCATATTAGTTATTGGTTCAAATCGTAAACATGATCGTCAATATTATTTCTTTCTTATTCGTCATAACTTCCTGTGGTAAGTAAATGGAATGATCGGCTGATTTTTTTTAAATGTCTTGGCGTGTTCAGAACTTTTCATGCGTAGCTCACTCATTATATAGTCCGGGAAAAAAATCGACTTTGGAAAGAACAAATTAGATGCCGAACATTTGTTTGAGGTCAGTATCAGCACTTGAAAAAATATTCGTCAAAAACTAAATGATGGCTCGATGGCACAGATCTTGGTTGAGAACTGGCTGGCAGTTCATATGTTAAAAATATGTATGTTTAAAATATGTTTTTCCATTAACCAGCTGTCGCACTCCTACGAATGACAACCCTCAGAAGTCGAAACTTGTGCGAGCTAAGTACTAATAAGGTCTTACCTTTTAACGTGTGATTCCTAATACGCATGCTTGTATACAGGGCTGGAAGAGGAGAGTAGGCGGGGCTACTGCCCCCGGGCCTCCACAGGAGAGGGCCCCCAGAATAGAGATTAAAAGAAATCCAAATTTTGACGGGTCAGCAACTCTCACGTTTTTTCTGGGAAACATTATTTTTACATTTTTTATCGACATATCAGAAAGCCCTGATGAAAAGTTTCCATTTATTATCAATTTTTGATTTGATCGAGTATTTCAGTATGAACACTTTTTTTACCTATCAGATGAAGAGAAATGAAATAAGTAAAAATTATCCGACAAAAGGTTGACCCTGTCTGCAGATCATCCTAATAACTTCTGCGTTCTTCGAGCTCAATATTTCAAAAATCATTTGTGGAAATTCCTTGAATGGAATTTTTTAACAATATCTTCTATTGAACGCGTCGATATTAAGTCCCTCCCCCTTTTTGAAAATTTTTTATTTTCGTTGAGGGCCCATCGTGTTCCCTCATTTGCCTTCGACTGGTGGTGAGGACAAAACACAAGTACTACAGCACTACAGGTACAGGCACCGCTCTAAGAGCTGGAGATTGAATCCATTTGGAAAAACATTCTCAGGAAGTTTATCTCACATAAATGCAGTTCTTCAAATGAAAGAGTTCTCAAACAGTGAAGTTCGGGGTGTACTGACTTGAAACTTATAACGATGAGCAGCCACAGTCCGTGATTAGTTTTGATTAACTATTTTTTTTGTAGCAAAAAAATTAGGGGCCTCCACTTCTTCGTTGCCCCTAAGACTTCCAAACCCAGCCCTGCTTGTATACCATATCACGTATTCTTTTATTTCATGAACCTTCAGAGTAATCTGATCCATTATAAGATGGGATAACTATGTCAGCAGTAAATAAGATGTTAGCAGAGGCTCTGCTGACATTTCATTTACTGCAGCAGAGGCTCTGCTGATATCTTATTTGTAAATAAATCATTAAACGATATGACAGACTCTGGACTACAAGCTTTCAAGGAGTATTTAGAAGCTCAGCCTTCGATACCTTATTCATGGTAATCACATTTCAGTTTCGATACCTACATATAGTCTTTGTTAATTATTTGGAGTTGTTCATTGTACATCGCAAATTGTCAATCTTCGTTAGGGGAAATTTATGCTTCGAATTAATTTTATATTCTTCTCTATGTATATATCAATGTTTCAAGGTTTTATGATATTCGTTATCTTTGTTCAAAGCTTTTCCCATTGCTGTTTGCCTTGAATTTATTCCTTTTGCTGTCATCCATAACTTTTATGGTACTTCTGAGCTTCCTATTTGCTGTCCTCATTTTTGGTATCATCAAACTCACCACCTGTTTTCTATTATTTATTCTATTTTTCACTTCACTTCATTCCTATGTTGTCCATATCCATCTCAATTTTATTTCTTTTCCGTAATCTACTCTCTTTACTGGACTTCTTCTTGGATACGATTATGTTCCACTATCTCGTTCTTCTCCCGTTCATCTTGTAATGTATTGATACTTTCCAAGCGAGATCGCTAAAAAGATGTCCTTCCTCTGAAGTTATATAATTCCGAATTTTGTCAATTGAGTTCCTAGTTTTCAAATGTCAGTGTATATTTTCTACTTCATTCAATACTATCTGCAACTAGGTACAGTCAAGGTTCGAACCTAAACCGTTCACTTTTATATTTCAGTGACTGCAGGTACCATCGACTATTACCCGAACGTAGAGGTTATAGAAGGAGGCATAAGTGGAGATGCCATCACCACTCGCTACTGGGACTGCTGCAAGCCATCATGCGGATGGAGAGGAAACCTCAACGACCACACCGCCAATCCTGTAACCTCCTGTGCCGCTGATGGCGTTACAGTGCTAGACCCCGAGATTATGGCAGCCTGTGACCCGGGAAAGAACGGAACATCTTACATGTGCAACAACCAACAAAACTACGCTGTGAACGACACATTCGCCTACGGATACGTCGCAGCTTCTTTCACGGGAGGCGTCGACTACAGCTACTGCTGCGCTTGCGTTCTCCTCTCCTTCAAGAGTGGTTTGGAGGGCAAATACATGCTGGCTCAAATCACCAACGCCGGTAGCGACTTGCACGCCAACCAGTTCGATATTGCTATTCCCGGGGGTGGAGTGGGTCTCCACAATGGCTGCGACTTACAGTGGCACTCGGGTCCAGATGGTTGGGGCGACAGAGTTATGGGTATAGATACCAGGGAGGAGTGTGACACGCTTCTTCCTGAACCATTGCGAAGCGGGTGTTATTTCAGATTTGATTTTATGGAGGGCATTCCTAATCCTGATGTCTCCTTCAAACAAGTTAAGTGTCCTAAGGAACTGATTGCCAATACTGGTTGTAATATGTAACTGGTTTCTAAATATACTTAATTTAATTTCATTTTTTGTTTTTATTCACGACATTTTGAAATTTTTGTTGAAAAAACAAGAACTAACCCAGCTAATGCCACGCAGAAAGCTGAAGTAAAACCATCAGGCACCTGTGCAACGTCATCCATTTGGAAGATTCGTCGCAAGTTACTTCCCACTATGAAAAGCAGAAAATAATTTTATCGGTATGACCAACCGATAGACCGGTTTCGGGGTACTCGCCCCATCATCAGTACCGGGCATGGTCTCTTTAGAACGGAGTGAACCGTCTGAGTATCCCGACCAAACCCGACATGAGGGCCTCATTCGACAGAGTGTCGGGGCCTTCTATATCCGGAGGGGTTGTCTACAGCATAATCTATAGCTTTCCTAACTAACTGTTTTTCGTGAGTTTCGACGCTATCAAAAACTCGCCGATTGCTCCGACTGAATGGACTGCTGAATGGAAGGCAGCTGAAAATTTCTGCGGATGGCTTCATTCCGCACGAACCAAGGAGCATTCACAATCATCCTCATCTCTCCAGAATGGAGATATTATACGTAGCTGCTTGTCCCCAGACGCCTGAATCATACATGATGACAGTCTTGAACATCGTATTGTAGATGGTAATTTTGATCTTTAGACTCATTTTTGATTTTCTGTTGATCAGAGGGTACAGACTAGCTATCCGTCCCTTGATCTTTGACTTGATGCACATAATGTGCGGGTTCCAAGTGAGCCTACGGTCTATTAGAAGGCCGAGGTACTTTACCCGCGCTTGTTAGTCAATTTCCCTTCCAGAGAGTCTCACTTTTGTGGCCGGGGAAGATAATAATAATAATATTTTATTGGTTCTTCTGGATCATAACTCAATGATATAGAACAAGTCAGTGTAATATGATATAAATAAACTTATAAAAAAGAAAAAATTATGTACATATAGGATATGAACAGTTATGTAAAATTATATATTAAAACTTATAACTAGGTAAAATTATAATATATTAACAACTCTAGATGACAATCTCAATTCTTCAGTTATATTGATAAGTCATTAATAAACTCTTCAATGGAGTAGTAGGCTTTATCAATCAGAAAGTTTTTTAGGAACGGTTTGAATTTTCTTAGTGACATTTTTCTAACATGATTTGGCAATTTGTTAAATAGCCTGACACCCATGAAAATTGGACTTGATTCTGATCTAGCCAGTCTATGATTTGGTATTTCTAACAATGTTGAATTTCTTGTGCCGTAATTATTTTTGTTTAAGAAGGTAAAAGGTCGCTGATCCGATTTTACAAAAATTAACAGCTGGTACATGGGAGAGTTAATATTCTTAAAACTTTGAATAGATCTCTGCAGCTAGTACGTCTATTTACACTCTGAATGTTTCTGACAGCTCTCTTCTGTAAAATAAATACCCTTTGTGCCTCACGTGATAGGCCCCAAGCTACTATACTATATGAGATTGTTGACTGTAATTGGGCATGATAGTACATGAGTACCACCGACTTATCTATAATTTTACTGAGTTAATAGATACAGTAACACATAGGCGTTATTTTTTTACATATTTCATTAATATGTTGATTCCATTTACAATCTTCAGTGAGAGTAAGTCCTAGAAATTTTATTGAATTCACCTGTTTCATTAAACCGTGCTGTGATTTTAACAGTAAACTGTGATCATGACCATTTGGGGCATAACTAAATCTTAGGAAGGATGATTTTATATCATTGCAGATCAATTTATTGCTAGAAAACCAGTCCTGGGCTTTTAAAATTTCCCTGTGAGCCAAGTCTACTGTGGATGTAACATTCTTACCACTAACCAGTAGTGTTGTGTCATCCGCATACATTACAAAATTTCCTTCAAAGTCATTGACATAAATTATATAAAGTAGAGGTCCCAAAATAGAGCCTTGTGGTACTCCAATAGTATACTTTAAACGTTTAGATTGATACTGATCTATATCAACGTATTGTGTTCAATTTTGGAGATAACTTTCAAACCATCTACGTGAGTTTCCCCTAAAACCATACTTTTCCAATTTGTCTAGTAGAATTCTGTGGTCTACAAGATCAAATGCCTTACTTAGATCTAAGAAAATACCCAGAGTTCGCTTACCCATATCTAGACTATTGCATAGCTCTTTTAGTAGTTTTATTATAGCTTGTGTTGTTGAACGTCCCTTTCTAAAACCAAATTGATTTTCATTGAATAGCTTATGAAGATCAAAGAATGAAACGACTGAATTTGACACCCATTTTTCATAAACCTTTGCAAAAGCACTGGGGACAGTGATGGGCCTGTAATTTTCAACTTGAGTTTTATTTCCATTTTTATGTATAGGTTTTATTTTTCCAATTTTTAAGCTATCTGGGTAAATACCTTCTTCCAACGAGCAGTTGATGGCAAAAGTTAGTGGGCCTGCAATAAATGACGAACACTTTTTTAAAAGATTAGGACTTATTTCATCATTACCAGTAGATTGACAGGATTTTAGGATTTGATAGCAATCTTCCCATGATTATCGCCTGAGTTCCCAACCGAACAAATATAGTTCCAGCTAGTCATGAACTCTTTCTGCAGTTGATTCAATGGGATGTTCTGCAGACAAAGCTAGGAAACAACTCCACAAACATATCAGGCACCTGTGCAACGTCTTCCATTTGGAAGATTTGCCGCAAGTTACTTTCTGCAAAAATTATATTCACTTGGTCGGCACGACCAACCGATAGACCGGTTTTGAGGTATAGCCCATCATCAGTACCGGGCAGGTCACTTTAGACAGAGTGAACCATCTGAGTATGAGAGGCAAGGGGTAAGGTGTTTTTTACCTGAACTTTGAGGTTTGCCCCCTTTTTGAAGTGTTGTGTCCACGAATTGTTTCATTTTTAATTTATATCATACGCACTCGAAAATATCTATATCTATTTATATGTATTAGGTTTCCGCGGTCAGCAATTTGGTGTAATGGCGTCCGGGTTGAACCACGTCTGTAGTTTTTATCTGTTGGACGTTTCTGCTTCTGTTTTGAAGAAATCATCAAGAACCACTTGAAATTAAAGTTACATGACTCGTCGACGTGGTCGTAATCTATCTGATTCCAAAGTCTCGTCACTGGCCTTGTTTATGCTTTGTTCAGTTCCAAGTGAACACTGATAACTTTGGTCAAATATCTGGATGTGATTCTAGATGCCGGGTTGATCTGGAACCAACATCTAGAAAGAGTTGGAAGAAAGACGGTGATAGAAATGTTGCTGGCTAGACGCATCCACAGATAGACATGAGGGCTTGAACTAGACGTGATGTAGTGACTCTACACCATGGTGGTTAAACCCATGATGACATATGCATTTATAACTTGGTTGTCAAAGTTGAGACATACTAAACGGGCTAAAATGATTAGCATGTGTGGATATCTTTATGAAGTATCAACAGGGCAGTGGATCAATAGTATTACATAGGAAGGTTTCCAAGTGATAACAACAAGGCATTTCTATGCATATTGGTGAAACGAAGACGGGCATGCGCGAAACTGAAATATTTCCAGATGTCATTGTTTTAAAATGGTTGTTTAAAGTTGAAGAAAAAGTATAGAGAGTTTTTATTTGTTTATAACTATGTTCAGCAGTATAGTGTAATATGGAATGAAGAATTTGTGTGGTTATGTTGTTTAGCACATGCAATTTTATCGGAGAAAAACAACCTAACCTCAAAGAAAGATAGGAATTGATTCTAGAATTCAGTTAGTGGGAATGGAGTTCGAAATACATTATGTATTACACATTCATATTGCACGTGACTTAGTTCTCCTGGACTTCAATTTTTCGGTTTCTCGAGTTTTTCCACTGCGATTTTCTTCAAACAACGATTCACTCAATTACATTTGTTGGGTGAGGAGCCTAAGAAATAATATTCTTCTGACTAGTTACATGGAGACATTTAATGATATCATTGAGGATTATGAACTTTCAATGAAAACAAAATACATTCGTAGATATAGCTCACTTAGGATTAACAGTTTTTAATAGTCGTCGTGTTCAAATGGATGGTATTTGTGACCCAAGGATCTGAAAATAAAAAACGTCAATTAGTAATATTTCATTTTCAATTCCGTCATATGCGTTATCAAAATTAATTGCATCAAAACCAAATTTATTGTGTGGCTTCATACTTTGTCATAATCGTTTTTTTGAGAACGGGGTGAAGGGTTTTGGAAATGTCCGATTCAAATTTCTGTAAGTACAATTTTTGATTAACGTTTCCTTTTAATAAATCTCGTCAAGATTTTTGTACCTCTGATTCCATATTTCCAAAGCCAGTCCACTTAAATTTGTTGAATATGAAATTTAAAGCAGATTATTTGGCTTGACAATGTCAATGTCAATTCGAGATAGTGAAAAGTTCATTGTATTGAGTTTTTGAACTACAGTAAAATAGCAAAACTATCCAAAGGTAACAAACACATTTAAATTCGTCACAAGAAACCATTTCCAGATTGTTTCCCAACATCATGTTGAAAACCAGAGTCCAAACTCCACGCATTTTGGATTCAACAGCAAACGGCGATGTTTCGACCCGCCACAGGTATTATCAGTGGTGCTAAGTTGGACCACAACCGCATTGCTGAGCTCAAGTGTCCTTGAAGCCTGAGTAAGTGAGGTAGACGACATCTTCCCTGAGGAAGACCCCATCTATAGGATCCACAGAGAACTTAATCCTCGGATATCAAAGAGTAGCAATGATTATGCTGGTATTCATGATTATTTTCTATCAGAAATAGTCAAATAGTTCAGTAACTAGTTATGAGCTTCGCTGCGAGATAGATCTTCGTCGTTCGTGGAGGTTAGGAAATATTTTCTAGTTGAATATGGATTCCACTTACGCTGTCATTGGACAGAATCTCCCGTTGCAGTCAAAAGTATCCAAATAAGCAACATCTTCTTTGGACAAGGAGAAGTCGAAAATTTCGAAATTCTGCTGGATCCTTGACTTCGTTACAGACTTTGGAATTGTTATCACTCCTCTTTCTATGGGATACCTCAGAAGTATCTGAGCTGGGGTCTTGTTGTACTTCTTTGCAAGCTCTTTCAACTTGGGATCATCCATCAGCTGGGGCTCTTCAGGGGTTGCCCATGGACGATCTGGGGAACCCAATGGACTGTAGCCTGTAACGGCGATTCCTTTGGATCTGCAGAAGTCGATCAACTTACTTTGGTTCAGGTAAGGGTGGCATTCTACCTGAAAAATGAAGTTGAGAGATGATATATAACTGAAGAAATCTAAACCATTGACAATGAAATGTAGTAATGATGATAATAATGTTATTTATTTCAAATTCCCAAATACAAAAAGCATAAAATACAGATAAATAACGAGACACTCCATAAGTAAGTGAATACTTATTCCGAGGTACGAAATTTGAAATAAATTGGTATATATGCATACATATGCATAAATAGGTATCAAAAATCAAAATCATACTCAAATACAATATGATACAGTACAACAGTAGTCAATTTAGCAGTCAACAACTTTTAGGCTGTATAATAAAATTCAGTAAATCAATCATCTTCAACTGTGGACAGTCGTATTTGAAAAGAATATTTGAATACAGTGTCATTGCTTTTCGAGTTTGAAAGCCGTGGATTTTTGGAATTTCTTCTTGACGTTTCGCTGGCCTGAGTGGCTAGCTTCTTTAGAGGTTTAACCATCATGGATTGCTGTCCGATGACTACCTTTTAGGCTTCGTAAAGCGTATTTATGCCTTGTCAGGTAATCAGTTGTATTTGTACCTGTATTTGTACCTGCATTTGTACCTGCATTTGTACCTGCATTTGTACCTGCATTTGTACCTGTATTAGTACCTGCACTTGAACCTGGAACATTAACAATCTTGCTGGCTGTTGTCCTGTTCCTTATTCTCGAATTCCTTAAAATAGGATTCCATATTTGATTGAGGTTCACCGCTTCTTTTTTTCCAAAAATCCATGGCTCTCAAACTCGAAAAGCAATGACACTGAAAACCTCAGCCGTGAAAGTCTAAACCATTTTGTCAATATTTGAATACCAAGCAAATTGTTAAAAAAGTGAAATGGGAAATTTTCCAATTAAAATATTGTGAATGCATTTCATCTCAAGAAGTTTGAAACACAAAAACATCATTCAATTTTCATCTGAACTTGATACCCTTTTCTCACCTGGTTAACAGCTGGTTTAATTGAAGCAGCTGCAAGAACCCTTTCGAGTTGGCTCTTGTTGAAATTAGAAACCCCAATGGATTTTGCATACCCTGTTTTGGCAACCTCTTCCATCGCTTTCCAGGTGTCCACATAATCCACATCGCTGAACAAAATGTTTCCTGCAGCATCTCTTGGGAATGTTTCTCCATCTTCCTACAGAAGGTATGAGAAACTTACTATCTGTACTACAATCAGTTTGAAGTGGTTTTTATTAATTAGTATATTCAAACGTACCTTGTAACCTTGAGGCCAGTGAATCAGGTATAAATCCAAATACTCCAATCCTAGATTTTTCAATGATTCTTTCACGGCACCCGGAACGAGATCAGGTCTGTGGAAGGTGTTCCATAACTTGCTGGTAACGAACAGATCTTCCCTTTTGACGGTTCCATCTTCAAACTTGGCTTTGAGAGCTGCTCCAACTTCCTTCTCATTGCCGTAGATATACGCGCAGTCGATGTGTCTGTAGCCTATATCGATCGCATCCTTTACTGCCTGTTCTACTTCGCCAGGCTTGGACTAAAGGAAAGAGTTTTTAGTATAAAAATGATGTCAGACTATGAAAATATTTTGAGCACTGTCACAGGGGTTTTATATCATTATTTCAAAATATTGTATACAACTGGATTGCATTAAAATGACAATAAACGAAATTTATTGACAATAGGATATAAGTGTTTGTTTGAAGGTGATTGACAATGTTTCATGATGAATTTCACTAGTTCGGACTTCCATTGTCTACTATATAAAATGATTTGAAATCCCTGAAACAACTAAAAAAGAAAAATTGAAAATGAATAGCTGAAAATAACAATGGTATTAACCGAAATAAACCTGAAATGAAATAATAGTGAAATAAAATAAAAGTAAAAATAGAACAATTGAATGAATAGAAATGAAAAAAGAAAATAAAAATAAAAAGTGGAGGGATTCCAAGTCACGTTAGTTCACGACGTTTCGATTGTTAGTATCTACAATCGTCTTCGGGTGATGACAGGACTGATTCCTCCGAGAGATGACTATTTATAGATCGTTCGAGTACTTTCACTTATCTCCGCTCTCCATTTTCTACCCAAAATCCACAAGAAGGACGTTCCGCTCAGACCGATCATCAGCTCCAGAGATTTGGCTACTCAAAACTTGTCTAGATTTTTACTTCCCTTAATACAACCATTACAAGGAAAAACATCCTCTTTTGTGAAGAATTCAAGGCATTTTGTCGAACTACTAGGGTCAATTAAGGTCACACAGGAAGGTCAACTAATCAGTTTCGACGTGGAAAGCCTTTACACCAACGTTCCGGTCGAAGAAGCATTCCAAATCATACAGAGAAAGCTATCCGAAGACGGGAACCTGAAAGAGAGAACGAATCTACCTATAGAAGTAATTATGGAATTACTAGGATGCTGTGTACGAAACTATTATTTCCAACTGAAGGACGAATTCTTTACACAAGATGAGGGACTGCCAATGGGATCGCCACTTTCACCAGTCATAGCCAACATATATATGGAGTAGTTTGAAACTCTGGCCATCGGAGAAGCCCACAAGAAACCTCGAGTCTGGTTGAGATATGTTGACGACACCTTCATAATATGGAACCATGGGAATACTGAACTAGACACCTTCCTGAAACACATCAACAGCGTGAGACCTTCCATCAATTTCACAATGGAGAAGGAAATCCACAACGAATTGCCATTCTTAGACGTTTTGGTGAAGAGGACCGACACTAAGTGGGAAACATCTGTATACCGAAAACCCACTCATACGGGACAGTATCTGAACCACGAATCCAACCACCATCAATCGACTGAAAGAGGAATCATCAAGACTCTATTAGACCGTGCTTTTGGGCTTTGTAATACGAAGGAAGGTCTCGAGAAGGAACTAGACACCATCAAAAATGGTCTTCAACGGAATGGCTACTCCAAAGCGATGGTAGAAAAGACTTTGGCTAAAAGACAGCAGGAGCCTCGCAAGAAAGAGAAGCCGTCACAACCAGTGCTTGCACTTCCCTACATCAGAGGATTATCGGAGAGGATAAGAAGAATTGGTTCCAAGTACAACATCAGAACCAGCTTCAGATCCGGTAACACTATCCGTAGCAGCCTCACGAAAACCAGGCCACCAAACGCGGACTGCGATTCCAAGAATTGCATTCACCGGATACCCTGTGAGTGCGGAAAATCCTATAGAGGCCATTTAATGTTCGCATTGCCGAGCACAAGAAACACACACAGCGAGGGGAAATCAGCAAATCAGGAATAGCAGACCATGTTTGGACCCATCAACACAACATCGAGTGGTCCCAAGCTGAGATCTTGAACAGAGAGGAACATTGGTTTAGGGGAAAATTCAAGGAAGTCGCATACATGTTGTCCAACAACGTATTCAGCCAAGCCAGCGTAGAAATACGCAACATATGGAAACCCATCATCAAGCGAAAAATGGCCAACTCCCGCCAAAACGGTCATCTCCCACGGAACCAGTGAAGCGGAAAATGGAAAGCGGGGATAAGTGAAAGTACTCGAACGACCTATAAATAGTCATCTCTCGGAGGAATCAGTCCAGTCATCACCCGAAGACGATTGTAGATACTAACAATCGAAACGTCGTGAACTAACGTGACTTGGAATCTCTCCACATTTTATTTTTATTTTCTTTTTTCATTTCTTCATTTTTATTTATTCAATTGTTCTATTTTTACTTGTATTTTATTTCACTATTATTTCATTTCAGGTTTATTTTGGTTTATTATGGAAGTCCGAACTAGTGACATTCAGGATATAAGTGTGTTCCGTCTCCAGATCTATAGGGTGGTCCAACCATAATAACTGATGTTGATTGTGAGCCACACCTTGACGTCAAGTTTCTTGCCCCACTTGCATTTTGTTTTCGTAGAACCATGGAGAAGTGCGCAATTGTACTTCTTGGAAAATGAAGTCGGCCAAGCAAGATTTACTATCGCGAGATTATAACGGACTTCTTGTGGCTAGAAATTTGGGATATGGACCTGGACCATACATGTTTCCAACAGAATGGCGCCACTTGTCACACAGCCAACGAAACAATGGCTCTTTTTCGCGAGAAAATCAATTTCAGTGTTATCTTATGTTGTGTTTCTTGAATACGAAAACTCTTTGACACTTTTCAAAATAGTTTCAAAGCCGATCCTGATAAATTGAGTAGTTTTCAGTATGAAAACAAAACATAATTACACTGCCAATTCAGTTCGAATATATGTTACTTGCTTTCACATTATGGTGATATGTATTTCGACACCAATTTGATATCAATTTTCATTTATTTGTAATCACCATTCACCCACATATAATTAACAAATAGATGCATTACGAGCATATCAGCTAAGATATGTGGATTATAAATTTTGAAGCATGGCAACACCGCTTCGGCTTCGGCCTTGTGTTAAAATTAGTCCAGTCATCTTAGTCAATTCACCTCGGAATTCAAGATACCCGGCTATAAAATCTTATAAACTTTTATTTTGACGTTTTTAAAGTTGTCTCAGTACTCATACTCATAAGGTATACGAGACTTTTCAAATCTAAGGATGACTGGACCAAACACATTGCGTGGAAAACGAATGAGTTTAATATTTATGGATTACTTTATTTCGAACTATATTTCATTCATTAAAATCCTAAAAGAACGAACAAAAACTCACCTTCCATGTTCCTAGACCAAACTGAGGGATCTCATAGCCGCTGTTGAGTTTAACTTTTGGTACTTTAGACATTTTATTGATGTGTTGAGTGATGAGAGTCGGATGCAAAAGTGCCTTGATTTGTTTTAATAATTTGAAATAAGTTACTGATAAAAGCTTTGATTTTGCTGTTATCTTTTGTTTAATTTTCACTTCAATCGACTTGTTAGTAGAGAGACACTCTAATACATCGTCCGCTATTCAAACACTGTTATTTTATTTATCGAACGAACAGAAGGCAGTGGCGTACTTTAAATATTTTTTAATTAGAAGGGTTTACTTGAAAAAAAAGAATTACGATCGTTTATGCTTGGAGCTAACATTTACTAAATAGTATCTATGACTATGCTGATAGTGTTGATATTTTGATAAAAGAACAAATTGGAAGTGCCTTGGAGAAGGATATTGAATCATTCTTAATGGCTGTGCAAAAATGGATGGGAAAAAATAACCATGAAAGTCGATGTCTTCTCTTCAAAACACAACAAACTAGTAAAAATGTTCCAAAAATTTCATATATCAACAACGGCCATATTAAGATATGTTTCTGTAAAATGTTTGGTACCATATTAGTTTCCAATCTAAAATGGTTTGGTCTTTCAGTGGATATAAGGGTTTTCACATTTCATTATACATGGGAAACCAAAAATTAGTAATTGCTGCAACTATCCTATATTTCCAAATACAAAAAATATCAAGAAAGGCTGTTTGGATTGACATTATCTACCATCATATATCCAAGTGATATTTCACAATGATATTTTCACTGAATAATTTGTAAAACGGCAACACGTGTTGCAATATACAAAAACTTTCTCAGGTGTGTTCAAAAGTAGTTATACTAGATTTATACTACCTTCCTCAGACGTGTTCATACATGTATAGTTATACTAGTATTCATACAATAGCTTTTCCAAGCGGGTTTATACAAGTAGTTATAACAGTAATTATACTAGCTTCCTCAGATGTATTTATACAAGTAGTTATAATAGTATTCATACAACAGCTTCCTTATATCTGTTCATACAAGTAGTTATAGTTGTATCCATGTTATAACAGTAATCATACTAGGCATATTCATGCAACAGCTTCCTCAGATGTGTTCATACAAGTAGTTATAATAGTATTCGTACTAGGCGTATTCATGCAATATCTTTCTTAGGTGTATTCACACTAGTATCCATACTAGCTTCCTCAGATGTGTTCATAGATGTAGTTACACTAGTATTCATACAATAGCTTTCTCAAGAGGGTTCATGCAAGTAGTTATAACAGTAATTATACTAGCCTCTTCAGATGTGTTTATACAAGTAGTTATAACAGTATTCATACAACAGCTTCCTTATATCTGTTCATACAAGTAGTTATAGTTGTATCCATGCTAGCTTCCCCAGACGTGTTCATACATGTAGTTATACTAGTATTCATACATTACCTTCCTCAAGCGGGTTCATACTAAGAGTAATAACAGTAATCAGACTAGGCATATTCATGCAACAGCTTCCTCAGATGTGTTCATACAAGTAGTTATAATAGTATTCGTACTAGGCGTATTCATGCAATAGCTTTCTTAGGTCTATTCACACAAGTAGTTATAGCTGTATCAATACTAGCTTTCTCAGATGTGTTCATACATGTAGTTACAGTAGTATTCATACAATAGCTTCCTCAAGAGGGTTCATGCAAGTAGTTATAATAGTAATTATATTAGCTTCCTCAGATGTGTTTATACAAGTAGTTATAATAGTATTCATACAACAGCTTCCTTATATCTGTTCAGACAAGTAGTTACAGTTGTATCCATGCTAGCTATCCCAGACGTGTTCATACATGTAGTTATACTAGTATTCATACATTACCTTCCTCAAGCGGGTTCATAATAAGAGTTATAACAGTAATCAACTAGGCGTATTCATGCAATAGCATCCTCAGATGTGTTCATACAAGTAGTTATAATAGTATTCATACTAGGTGTATTTCTACAATAGCTTCCTCAAGGATGTTTATACAAGTAATTATAACAGTAATCAACCAGGCGTATTCATGCAATAGCTTCCTCAGATGTGTTTATACAAGTAATTATAATAGCATTCATACTAGTAATTATAGTTGTAACGAAAATAAATAAGTTTTTCAGTCGTAGGAAAAAATTCAGTTCCACTCTAGGTATATATCTGTTGGTCATTATAAAAAAAAATCAAAAGAGTTTCAATTTTAATTTTCACACGTAGACGAATTGAAAATACAAATGCATTTCAGAACTCCACTCCTTTGAATGGATACTCAGGAGAACCAAGTAATTCTTCAGCGTGACACATTCTCAAATCGCAATTGAAACTGTCCATCACATCCATCTCATCATCCGTTAGTTTGAAATCAAAGATTTCGAAATTTTGCTTCAGTCTGCCAGGGTTTGAGGACTTCGGGATTGGTACAGTACCTGCAAAATAAATGAAAAAAAAATGCATTTGTGCCATTGTAATGACATTCTATACTATATCTGAACCATTCAAACACACTAGCCTTTTATAATCACACTGAAAGAGGAACAAATTCCCTCTTTCCTGCCCTCACAGTGTTTCATTCAATATATAATGAATTTTCATTACCTAATTGATAAATGTAACGCAGGATAACCTGTGTCGAAGTTTTGCCGTATTTTTTACCAATTGCTGCTATTTTATCATGATCCAGAGGAACAATAGGATCGCTTTCCTTCATCCATGGTCGTGTTGGAGATCCCAAAGGACTATAGGCCATTATTTGAATGTTTCTGTCCTTGCAAAACTTTATCAGCTTTTTATTATTCAGAAATATGTTCACCTCAATCTGAAACAATAATAGCATTAGAAGAGTGGCTCCATCTTTTTTCCGGTAGCCAAAGTAATGTGTACGGAAGATTACTTCAATTAACGCTTGTTGGCAAATAACCATATTTTATTGAAGAGGAATGTATTTCATCTAATTTTTTGTGATATTCCTCTTCACTAATGATAGTCAGTCAGAGACAATTTAAAAACATTCGATGTAATCCTAAGACCTGTGTGCCATCTACCAGATCTTCATGGTACTAGGTACCAGGTACTTGGTATTAGGAACCATTGATGTCAATTGGAGACCACCTACAATTCAGATATTGTTGACATACTCACTTGATTCACCACTGGTTGGATCTTCGCATTGTCAACAATCTTCTGGACTTGTTTACTATTGAAATTGGACAAGCCGATACTTTTTGCCAGCCCAAGTCTCACGCATTCTTCCATTCCTCTCCAAGTTTCAACAATATCATATTCGGAATACACTGCGTCTTTGAAAGGAAGTTGGAAGTCAACCTTGCCAACATCTTCTTGCGCACAAGGCCAGTGGATGAGGTAGAGATCGACGTAGTCTAAACCGAAGTTTTTTAGGGATTCCTTACAGGCTGGCACCTGGAAAACAGAAATGAACAATCAAGTTGACATGAACATGGATAAAAAATCTGTTATCGAAGCAATAATGTCGTTAGCTCCACTTCCCTCTCAACAGCAGTGAGGCCATGAATGGTTTTGAATGGAGTCCATTGGAAAGCATAAATTGAAGCAATTCCTTATAAAGCAGCTGTCTGAGCGGTCACTAAACTTTAAGAGAGTCATAGTTACGACCGCACTGGGGGGCCGGTTAGGCCCCCCAGACGCACCCTGGCGTTGGATGCGATCGGGTGTGGAGGGGTGGATTTTCGGGAAATCCTTGCGGGTACCGCCCCTCACCCCACACCAACAGGATTTCGCAGGGCTTCCTCCCGCTCACCAAACCCGGAATTGCTTCCTTACTTCTACTTAGTGTGGCTAACCAAGAGACAGTCCATTACCCGTGTAGGTGCGGGATAGGGCGGTTCATCAACAACTTTTGGGTGTACGCCGTGTGGTCTGCACCGCATACCCTTACGTTACCCCGAGGGGCACTCATGTTAGGAAAGTTACCTTTCCAGCGTTGGATGAGTAACCGCCGAAGGCTCTTGCGAGACACCTCTCCCAAACATCTAGCTTGAAACCGGACAACGCCTGTTACCCGCAGGTGCGGGATTGGTTGGTTGACCGATAACTTTACTGGGTGAGTGCCGTGTGGTCTGCACCGGGGGACTGTCAAACACCCATAAGAGAGAGACAGTGACCCCCCGCCACTCACCCCGTTTTAGTTTTCAATTTCTTGGTCACAACTTTGGTACTATACCAAAGGGCTATATGAAAGAAGCCTATACTATGAAAATGTGTTTTTATTCCCATACTGTTTCAGAATTGCAAAAACATAAAGAAATACATGGCGTTCAGTCCCTTGAAGATGATCACATGGTGATCGAAACTCGTGTCGAAGTGTTAAAATAACGGTTTGCTTTTGGGAAAAACCCCCAGCAATATTAATCTCTGTAAAGGATCCAAGATTCTCTATCAATCAGTACATACCACACATTTACTGAGATATGGAGTTAAAGAAACGTCATAAACACAGACTATTTTGAAACAACCTAACAGAAGTTATGACCAATTCAATAGATTTGTTGAAACCCAGTATATTTATATTTGTATGTACTCATCAGTGATTAAAAAAGTTTACAATATCGGCCTATATACTCACCACTTTCTGCTGTTCATGAAAAGTATTCCATAATTTGGTAACAACGAAGATATCGTCTCTAGTGATAACCTTATCTTCAATTTTGGCTCGTAGACCTTCTCCTATCTCTTTCTCGTTCCCATAAAGCCATGCGCAATCAAAAAGGCGATAGCCTATGTCGATAGATAGTTTGATAATCTCTGTTATTTCTTCTGGTTTCGACTGAAAAACAAAGTAAGGTATATATAACTCTTTACCTTGAGGCCAATCATAGATTTTTTAAGAACAACATACTATCACCACAGGAAAATCAGTAAGGCACTACAGAAAAAGCGTTCTGATAACGCTTGATAATTTAGCCAGGTACTTGTGGCGAAAATAACGACTACAGGTTACCAAACAAATCAAGGAATAATATGAATATTCATATTCAGTTTTACTCTTAATGGATTGACAATCAACGAGAATGGGAATTCGTTTTCAGAAAATGTATAAGGTCTTCCAACAGGGAATTTGGACAATTGATAACGGCCATCTTGTTTGAGCTACATCTGTCAAATTTGTTTGATGGATAAAGCATTTTTAATTACAATGACTACTAAAATGTATAAAAAAATATACAGGTTCTTACTGAAAAAATATACTCATGATGGACTTCAATGAACAATACGTCGAATTGGAAAATGGGTTGAACCAGATTATGGAAAACATGAAATAAAGCAAAAAGTTTCATTATCATTTTTTGATTTTTGGGAAAGAAAGTTTTTGGCTTTCTACTACTCCATCTTGATACAAAAAAAGGATGAGGAAATCTTCCAAAGAAAGGATGGAAGTAATCAATTCGAAAATAAGTAACTCTATACATGAAATGAGCTTGATCTGCTTATGTCATCGATGACATCGTAATGACATTCTCACCTATTTGATTTAATCCCAGCCAAGAGGAATCTTAATTGAATTGAAGGGGTTATATTTTTTGGAGTGATTAATTTTTGGGAAAGAAAGGTTTTGGCTTTCTACCACTCCATCTTGATACAAAAAAAAGGGATGAGGGTATCTTCCAAAGAAAGGAAGGAAGTAATCAATTTGAAAATAAGTAACTCTATACATTTTTATTCCACAACGAATGTTTGAAATGCAAACTGAGTAGAGAAAAGTTTCTTTTGTATAATTCAGTGTTCATATAGAAGTATTTGTTTCGAAAGAATTTTTTTCTTTCGTGTAATTCAATGTTTATATGAAAGTAGCTGTTTCAGGAGGACTTTCTTTCAATTTGTGTCTGAAAGTTACTTCTTTGTATGATAACATTCTTTACGAATAGTGTTAGAAAATGTTTATATAGTAACTGCCGAAATGTTTATTAAACTGTTCTGTAGTCTTTGTGAAAGGCCTCAAAAATATTATTAAAGACTATAATCAATTGATGGATGTAGCCGTTACTACGTGGTAGGAAATCATAATGAAGAAATGAAAAATGAAACTTTCTCTGTTTTTCACCACTTTTATTTGTAACTAATGTTAGTTAGTTACACTTTCTATGTTTTTCACCACTTTCATTTGCAACTAAACGTTAGTGACAAATAAAAGTGCTAAAAAACATCGAAAGTTTCATTTCTCTTTTCTTCATAAATACTGTAATATTTCATGAAACGGTGCCAATTTCCTATTTATAGCTGTTTTATAAACACATCGGAAACATTTCTGGGAGAAATACAGTTTCACAACCATTATAAAATATAAAATTGCTACTTGGGTTGATCATGAGAATTATGGAAATCTGAATCAGATTACCTTCTTTACGTACCTACTTATTGACATCGTCAAACTTGACCAACTGTCTCCTCGAGCAAATGGACTGCTGTATAGTTAACAGCTAGTTTCCAGAATGGAAAGATTAACAATAAGTTTTGCACGGACTGGTTATTGGTCATATTAGGAAACGCAAGATGAAGTTCCAGTAATTCACATACATTTTTGCTACCTCTTGAACATTTACTACAAAGTAATCAAGTGAGGATTTTTTCAGCAAAAGATTTATAAACGCAAGACGAGATAGACTGTACGGAATCATTCAATCCAGAGCTGTCAGGAGTATTGATTCTGCTATTGTTTTGCTCACGAAGAGTATTCAACAAGAAAGCCAAGAATTCGGAACAATCCTCTTGTTGTCCTAACGAGTATGTAGTGGACTTCAAAGACTCCAGGAAATCGGTTGGAGGGAAAGATGATACATTCTAACGAAACTGCAGCTGCATGAACAGGTGTTTGAGTTTGGTGAATAAGTAGGAAATATTCTCGTTCTCGTTCATCATTAAAACCTCGTTCTTGAAATTCTTCGTCGTGAACAACACTTGTAAAATGCTATCCATGCAGCAAGTGTTTCCTAAATTATCTCCTAACTCCCAACTCTCTACTGACTCGTAAGGAAGAACATGTTTTGATTAATCTGCATAAGAACCATTTCTCAAGCTATTCAAGTGACGCACATGATTCACCCTGTAAATTCAGCCTTTGCTATCACTTCTGTCACTAAAATGTCAAAAAAAATTTAAAACATCCAGTTTCTCAAGATAAATTCCAGTGAACATGAGCTCCCAAGAGGAAAAATTAACGGACCCCATCGAATCAAACACAATCAATAGGCAGTTATTGAAAAACCAATCTTTCCTTTACACCGAAAACCAAAAACTGCAAAACGATGTTCAAAGCCTCTCGAAGCAATTGGAGAATCTCAGAAACTCAACAATTCAACCTGAGGTGTTTGAAGCACTTAGGAAAGAAAAGGACCATCTTCTGGCTTTGAACGAAACACTGAGGAAGAAGATAAAGACTAGAAGAGGTACGTCAATTCTCACAACACCCTCTGACTTACAGAAAGAACATAAGGAGAAAATCGAAATCATAAAAACAGTTCAAGAAATAGACAGGCTGTTGGAGAAGATCAGGGACTCTGAGAAATTCGAAATGAGACCGTGTGAGAACAACGCAGCTCTAGTGATAGAATCCCTCACCAAGAAGCTGGAGGAAGAACAGCGAAAATGCGAAGAAGCTAATGAAGCTTTACGAAAACTGAGGGTAGACGACGAAAAGTACATACTTCGAGAGAAAATAACGGATATGAAGCAGCTGATAAGCGATTTAGAGGTGGAGAACACCAAGTTAAAATTCGAAAACGAACAGCTTGCCGAAGATGTTGATGACTATAAAAAACAGCTCAACGAAGCTACAGAAGAAGCCAAAACGGTCACCAAGAAGTTCTGCCAGCTGGAAGACGAGAAAGACAAACTGAAGGTTGTAATTTCCGAACTGGAAAATGAAAAGATCAAGTTGAAGAAGGAAATGATTGAGGAGATGAACGAAGCCAATAGAGCCAAGAGGGTTTCCGTAGACACAGAAATCGCTCTGCATCATATTTCGGAAGCATACGAGAACAAGAGGAAAGAAGTACAGGCTATCTCTGCACAGTTGGAAGAAGCCGAGAAGATAATAAGGAGTTTTAAGGAACAGTTCGCTCCACAGTATTGAATAATAGTTTCCATTTACCGAATTTTCAATAATAAGTCTGTTACCATTAAGATGGAAATAAAGCTCGATCATTCATACCCTAAACTTTTACTTTCACCTCTACCTCAACTTGTCGCTCTACTTTAACGAATGTTTATGTTCAATGATTCCTAAAAAGAAGGAATTGCATACGTTGACCAACAGCTTGACGAAGCTACAGAAGGAGCCAAAATGCTCACCAAGAAGTTCTTCCAGGTGGAAGATAAAAAAGGCAAACCAAACGTTGTAAATTCCGAAATGGAAAGTGATCTTGGTTAGTATTATGTAGGTTACATAACCATATTCCTGGTTGATATTGGCATTCATGTTTTATTGCCGATAATGATCGAACTTGAAACGATTGATAGCAGTAATGAATGTTATTGAAACTCTTTCCCAACACCAAACCGTCAGTTTCAACACCTCGATACGTGTTTCGATCACCAAGTGATCATCTCCAAGAGGTAATATTCATTACCACACCAAAGCTTCCAAACAATGTATCACAAGCAATGATGAAGGTAACCGTCCTTCCTTCCTTCCTATTGTTGAAGACACACAACAAAGAAATGGCTCTTTGTGTCTTCAACTTCGTAGAGGAATGTTCTGGTCAAAAGCATACTCCTCAGGTAAAAACGGAAGCTATGTTCTAGGCTATTCTAGAACTTTCTAGATGGCGGAACTTCCAACCCTAATATTTGGAAACGTACGCTCTTCAGGTGAAAGCGGGAAACTTCTTCATGAGCAGGCTTGACGGAAAAAAGATAGGCGCGTGAAAGTTGAATTCAAAGTGTTGATGCCAAGAGGAAAACACTTCTTGAGATGAATCTGTTGTGGATATGTTGAGGCATATGCCATTCCAAATATTTTCAAGGATTGCTACTTTCAATACCTGTCCATCCACAGTTTTTATTGTCAAAAAAATCCTTCAATAACAAGGTATTCAGACTTCGCGAAGTGGTTTTTTAGATAAGAGTGAACGAATAATCAGAGTTTTGTTCGACTCACCAAAAACGTCCCAAGGCCATAAGAAGGGCACCTTCTACCATCGTTTAGGGTAATTTTGATACTACAAGGACCTCGACATGACATAACCACCACTTCATAAAATGACGTACGTCATCATGACGATATAGTCATTGAAATGACACATTTTTTTGAGTTCCGTCGTTACCGTGGTAGTGATGGGAACTGACGATAACGACCGTTCACAAAGAAGTTACGCGGATACTATGTGCTATCGCGGGTCTTCCTTTTGGGTTATGATTGTTCATTGTGTTTCGTCAAGCAATATTGTGAGTTTGTCGTACGCCGGTATCCAGGCCGGAGTGGTTCGTAATCTGAATAACCCCAAATCAGAATACGATATGACATAACTGAGTGAAGTAATCCATAGTAGGCTCTTTTGAGCTTCATCAAGCTGGCCACATTATTTAATCGTCTCAGAACAAACAAAACACTAGAAAGTTTGCTAGTCATAGCTTTGATATGATTAGACCAGCTCAATCTATTATCAGTAATGAATCCTGAAAAATTTTCACTTTCAGTTGGATGAATTTCAGATTGGAAAATATAATCATATTCTGAGTTTTATTTTCATTCAGAGTCAGCTTATTATCAGCAATTATATGCTAATGTTTCGCTATCTCGCGTCATTAGTTGGAAGCTGGTTAAGTCTTTGCTAGAACATAATGAAGTTTTTTTTTAAGAACAATAGTGGACTTGAAACAGAGCCCTGAGGAACACATTTGGCCAGGAGGAAGCCAGGAGAAACGGCCATCGAAAACAAAGAGAGCGAGAGAGATACTTTGTTTTGAGGAAATTGTTAATTTGAATTGTGTTTGCTCATATAAATTGTTGAAAATGTTTATTAATTTTCAAAAATCATCATGGGAAATTATTAATTTACATTGTTTTGTATCTTCATTCAGTAACCAGTGACGTCGTAAACAAAATCGAGAGGGTTGGATATTGATAACAGAAGAATGTATGTCAAGGTTGACCTTGATGTAAGAGTATGATTGAATTTTAGAAAAAAATAAAAGCTTGACGCTCTGTTGTATCAAAAACAGGATACGAAAAGCTTTATATGTTACAACGGGTTGAACATTAATAGAAATATTTTTTGTCTGTAGATTATAACCCCAAAAATATCTTGGGATCTGCCGCGGTAGATAACTCCAGTGTCAAGTCCTGACCTGCAGAATTGATCGTGATATCATATAATTATGTTGTACCGGAGATTACGTTTATAAAGTTAGTAGTTGTATCAGACTCACCAGCCATGATCCCAAACCTAATGCAGGACACTTTTTACTATTGTTGAAGGTAATAGAAGGAATTGACATTTCAATTAATGCAATCCTGCACACAACGCCTATGAACCTAAGAATGATTGAATTAGAACTGAAATGTCTGGCAGGAAAGGGGGGGATTTTCCTTGTATATTAAGCTATTGCAAACAAGTTGGCAACATCTCTCGACCAATAAACGATATTGTTGGTCAACAGTACGATCAACAGCTGGTTGTTTACATTAGTTACATCAGTAACTGATAAGGTAGGCAACATTTTTTTACAGAGTGGTTAGAAGTTTCTGCAACAAATACAGAAGAACGCAGAAGAAAAAACATTACATTTTCTTGTCCTGAATTTACTCGTTTCTCATTTATTGTTATGAATACGGATCTAACCGTCATCACAATATTGTATTGCTGTCACTTATAGTACCAGAAATGTTTGTGAAATTTACCATATTTCTGGTAATAACCACCATACATGTCTCTCAGCGCAAAATAAAACAATAAAAATCGTTTGTATAACTTTAATTAATTCACATAACACCTTAGAAATAAATGCACACGTTATTATCGTGTGCATCGACTGACTGATTTTCATATTTTCACAGAACATTAAAACACTGAAGAGGGAAAAATTTGATTAGTGAAATGTATCTACAATCTAGAATCTCTATATGAGTATCCACCAATTCTAATGGAAATTAGTCGATTGTTTGAAGGGTAAAGGAAAGAGAAGTAAAACCACCACCTATATAAATATATCAGTCCTGATAGAAGACATAGAAAGACAAAAGAGCTTGAAGAAGATTTTATAAGAAATAAAGTAGAGAATAGAGAATACAAATAACTAGTTAGAAAACTAAAATTATTGTAACTTTGCACAAAAGTGAGAATGGATATGATATTCTGGTAACTCTGCTGGTGAATATGCTTCTCTTGTAAAAGCTCTTTGGAATGATATTGTCAATCAAAATGATTGGTCTCTTTTACTTTCAACTTCTGAAGAGTTGACAGAACTGTTGCTACTGAAATATATTGTATTTATGCGTTATTCATTCAGACATCAATACTTGATAATGTTTGCAGATGATAATGGTTTGATCAGTTTGAGCAAGCTCAAATAAGAAGTTGGTAACAGTAGTCTACTAATCTATTAACTACTAACAGTATCTACTTATCCTTGATCTGATTACATCTTGACCTAAAGGAAGTTATAGGTCTTTGTAGGATGAATTCAGAGACCAATAACATTCAGGCCTTTGTGTTCAAATCATATCCATAAGCAAGAGGAATAATGAGAATTAAAGAGTATTTTTCAGCCGCAGTCCTGATTCAAAAGCTTGACTGTAACCTGCATTGGTACTATAAACCCTAATATAGCAGTGAGGTTAGTTTCGTACCTAACTCTAACCTTTTGCCTCGATATATAATGATACTGTTGTACTATAGCGTGGGTAGTGAAAACATGATTGATATAAATATGGCTATAAGAGGATGAATACTAATAAGAGGAAAAGTAAGATTCCATAACCCTACCATTATACCTGCTTCCAAAAAATATGAAAATCAACAATGACACTCAGTGACATCACAGACTGTACCATTTTACCCAGAGAATTCAAAAAGATAGCCACTACCGAAACTGTGTGGTTTTCCGGGTTCATCATTGTAGTCTCTGTCTTCCAGAGCATTCGACCTAGGAGATCCTGAAACCGTCAGAGGAGGGGCATAAGCAGGTCTTGCGTGTGCTACAGACGGCAGCTGGATCTGAAAATGTGTAGAATTAGTAATATTATCGAGTTCAGGTGGCACTACTGAGAGTATTTGATATCTCCCGTGACATCACATGCGACACAGCAATAATAGATACATTCAACTGTTTCAGCTTGAGAACATGGAACATTGTCATGAGACGGTGACATAAGACAGCTGACAGATGACAAATGAAAGTCGTTAAGAGACTATAGATGTCTGTGTGCCATACTAGGATGGTATTGAAGGGTATGGACTGAATTTGAATGCTCTAGACACTGGTATTTAAAATCTAGAAACGATAAGAAGAGTAATGGAGGTAGGACGGTGCTGATCAGATAAAATAGGGAGAATGAAGAATTTACTTGTTTGGTATTAACAGGTGTAGCGTGGTCTGAACAACATGGGAGCTTTGTCAGATGCAGACCATACCTCAGATAATGAGGTACAAACTAGAACAGGAACAAGTATGTTTTTCTCTCATCTTTTCAAGGCTTCAGTGTTTTTCCGGAAACTTGTCCAAATCAGACCTCTGCCAAACTGCAAAACGATACCTCAAGATGAGGGAAACATGTGGAATGTGGAAGACATATCCTTGCTGCCAAACATCAGCGTGGTCCAAACAGAACTGGCTGGTATCTCAATCGCCACAAAAGAAATAACCAGGACAGGAATTTCTGGCAAAAACATAACAATATGTACTGACAGCAGACAAGCCCTATTAGCCATGAACAGACAACGTGTTACCTCAGGGCTAGTACTAGAGTGCCACCAAGATTTAGCCAAAGTCTCGGTAGATGATAACATTATCCTGAGGTGGGTTAAAGAGCACGGCAGAAGTGAAGGTGATCGCATTGCCAACTTTTCAGCCATGGAAGCGGCTGGACTAAGAATTTTAGGGCCCAGTGGCACTTACGGCCTGATGACTTCGACAATTGCGAAACTAGCCTAAAGTCACACCCATACCCAATCCCTACAGAGATGGGATGAAATCAAAAGGATGCAATCTTGCGCCGGGATCACCTTTGGCGACCCTGGAAAGCTGGCGTAGAAGAAATATCTGGGGAGGACCAGGAAAAATCTACGCATAACAGTAGGATTTCTGACTGGTCCCTGTTAACTAAGGAAACACCTCCACAAATTGGAAACACCTACACAAATTGGAGATTTAAAATACACAGAAAAAATGTATATGAAAAACAGAAGAATAAGACACTTTAATATAGATAACTTGTTGAGGAAAACTAAAAAGTAACAAGGAGATAATACACAAATCAGTACTTAGTGGTATCAGAAGTGAAGAAAACAAATAAGAATATTACCTCCCAAAACAACGTGAACTGAAAAGAAGTATTTATATTTTGTATAAACACAGAAATTCTTGAAAAACTTTACTATAACCATATTTTTACCTGTTGTGGTCTTTCATATTGTTGTGGCCTATATTGTCCATCATCATGTTGCCTTCCATAGAGAGGCTGAGGTTGTTGGTAAGCTTGTGTTTGCTGCTGTTGAGTAACGGGAAGTGGAGCAACGGGTTGTGGAGCTTTTGGCAAGTGGTCGGCTTCCAATATCCTGAAACCTTCCTTACCGGCTGTATATTTCACCGAGATCTTCCTTCCACTAGGGTCTACGTAACTGCAATCGAGTTGAATCAAATAAAAAAATATATAGAAAGCGGGAGATGATTAGATTATCAACGTGAGTTCCCAACAAAACATTATCATCTATATATTAACAACAATCGGTACTTGTAATGTAAAACAACTAGCCCTTATTCCTATTTGAAATATTCAAAGAAGTAGCTACCTTGCTTGAAGAACACTGTAGAATGAAATGAGCCCATTACTGAATTCTTACCTGTATCCACCGTTTCTAGATCCATCAGGAGCTATACTCTCCCCCTGAGCGAGACCATTTTCTGAAGTGAAGAGGTATTTGAAGTTGCCATCATGATTCAACGCTTGTTTATGCGTTAAAATTTGTGGAGGAGGCGCTTTCTGATAGTTGTACTGTTCTTCTTGATTATAGCCTCCATTTTTATATTGGCCTTGGCAGTTGCAGGTCAATATTAGGCCTAGTGATACTCCTACAATCTGAAATGCAAAGACTACTGTAGACTTTTGAGGATTACGTATTTCTATAAGCTTGAAAAAAATCATCTATCATTGTTTGAAATCAGCTTACTTCCTGGTGTTTCCTAAAAGTATATAGGTTAATATTCATACCGCGATATTACTGTGCTTGCTACCCTTTGTGGCTATATCTCGCCCACCCCTCGTATACGATATTTCGTGTAAAACGGTCGGAAGTGCGAAAGAAAAAACGAGTCGCTCGAATGCGTGACAAGCGGCCCGAAATCACGCAAAACAACTTTTGAATTCATGTCGCAGGATATACAGTCCGCTTATATTGATACTCAACACAACAAAAACGTTCAAAATTCAAAGGATTCTTTTATTTTGCAACTCACGTGTTGCAAATATTTCGCTTAAGAAAGATATGGATCCAGAAAATATTTTCCATATTGGTAATGATCCTCTCAATTTGGTAGAATTCTGTTTTTCATGTATGAATGATTGCCAATGAGATAAACTAATATCGTTTACTTTCACAGTTGATATATTGTTACAAAATTGTTTTGCAAAAAATTGTTCAAATCAAATGCAATAACTGATGAAGGAAGAAATGAGTTATGAAAAAGTCATCAATTAAATTGGTGTTCCAAAAATAAAAAAAAAATTTAGTTGGGTAACAATAAATTTTTATAAAAAAACAAGTAATTGCTACAGCCAACAATTCATCGAATCAGTTTTTTTTTTCATATAAAACAATTGTTTTCTTAGCAACGTTTCGAAATTGATTCAATTTTTTTTCAGGGCTTGAAAAGCAGTTTTTTCGTGTTGAAAATGTGACCAAACACCCATAGTTACATTTACAACTCAATTGAATTGGAAACGTTGGCCTAACAACTAACCATTATTGAAGAAAAACTGCATAAAATTATTCGTCCTCTTCAATGAAAATAATGAACATTTTTTTGGAAACGAATGATTGAAGGGACATCTCAAATAAGAGTAATTGAAGAATGATTTTGGAACAAAATTTCAGTATGGGGTGACTTCAGATTTGAATAATTGAGATGGAGGGTAATGCAAAAGTAGAGTATAGTCATTGAAGAAGATTAATCCACAATGGAAATGGATAATATGAAACTCGTACATATATTTTGAAAAAATCAGGACTGTGAATAATAAGTACTAAATAACAGAAATAAATAAAGATGAATAGATGCAATAATGAATACTGAAATTCATCAAGAAATATTAATGATAGAGTGCTCTGAGTTGATAAAAAAGTGAAATATATAAAAAAGAAGAAAGTCATTTGTAGAAAAAAATGAAGGAACTAGTGGAAAAGCAGTAAATGTAAACTACAACAAAGCTCGTTCGCATCGTTCTGATGAATGAAAAATGGTAATAAAGCTAGAGGTTGACCGAAAAATGTCAAAGGAAATGATTGAATTTAAACTGATGAAGAATTGGATAGAAAGGTGAGACTAGCATAAAATAATTCATAGCTTCAACTTCTGTTATTTGTATTGTTTGTACTGAAGGGATTTTAGTATATACCGAAAAAATTTGGTTTTTGAATGCTACGTTAAATAATAATGGTTGTTAATTGTACGCACAATGCTGTAGTAGGTTTAGATGATTATTAAAATCAATTCCTGAAGTAATCTAGAAATTTTCGAAACAACAGAATTAGAAAATTATCACGTATCACAAATCCACAAATAAGCTTCTCCGTTACACACACTTCATCAATACTTAGAACTTAGAACTACTCACTGCTAAATAAGTCATGTTTATCCTATTTCCTGAAATCACAAAACTGAAATGTAACACAGTCTAATCAAACGCGGGCTTTATAGATTGGTGGGTGTGTACGAAATACTTCTTATACTCCACTGGCTGCGGTGCATATCAGAGACGTAGGAAAAAGGTTCCTAGAAGTGGGTCCTTTTTCGCTTTATTTATTTTTGCTTTCACTTGAGAATTCCCCATCATCCCTCCATTGGAGAACATACTGGAGAAAATCATTAAAAATGAGACACCCAACTTTTTTTTCATACTCTTTGAATAGCGTTTACACTTTTGTGAAAAACCATCGTAAAGTACTACCAAATCTTTCGGGACAGAGAGTTCAGTTAAATTATTTCAATATTTGGACGTTAACTCCGGTGGAACAGTTAGTGACATGAAAATAATGCTGGAACCTAAAGTTCTCGAAGAATCTACTGGAATGGCACATTCGCAAGACTTCAGTTTTACAAAATTTCTTGAAAGAATCGATTACCTTCTGGAAAATTCTAAGAAAACTGGAACACGAGGCAGTTGTGAACCAGCCACAAATTTTTGAAATATTCTGGTTTGAATTCTTGGAAGTGAAAGAAACACAAGCTGTAAAGGAAAATCCTTAAGGCGCTGTGCCTGTGCGAAAGTGGTGAACAGTGAAGTTCGAGGTGTACTGAGTTGAACCATCATTCGAATATATCTCCACGTTGTTTAGGCTGCGATTAGGAAATAAGATGATATTGGTTTTGCCTTTGTTGAGTTTTGAGTTATTCTTTTCCGACCAAATATTTATTTAACTGTATATATCTTCTATGGTTCTCCTCAAGCTTTCCACGTTTCCTTCTATTATTAGTATGTTGGTGTCGTCTGCGTAATTAGTAACATATGTTGTGGTATTACTGGTAATAAACGTTATAAGATCGTTAGCAAACACCAAGAAGAATAATGAACCAAAATTAGATCCTTGAGGTACTCCCTGGCTAACTTCAGATTCACTACTAATGCATTTGCCAACTTTGACTCTTTGTCTTCTTTCTTTAAGTACTCTTTATGTACTCCTCTTATACCCGATCTGAATAGTTTTGAAAGTAACAATTCATGATCTACACAGTCGAAGGCACGCGAGAAGTCTATAAAAAGACCTAGAACACACTTCTTTTTGTCCTGGGCATTTAAATTTCTGATCTGAAACTCAGATAATGCTGATTCTGTGCTTTTGAACTTAGTGAATCCATACTGCGATGTCGACAGTTTTATTATTCTCAAAGAAGTTGGTTAATTGTTTCTTTATATTTAGTTCAAATGGTTTAGAGTCACTTGACAGCAGACTGATTGGTCTGTAATTATACAAATCGTTCTCATCACTTTTTTTATAGATGGGGCATACTGTTGCAAATGTCAAATTGTCTGGGCAAACTCCCTTTGTAGGTGATAAATTTATGGTTGTTAGAAATATAGTCACTCTCACAAACGACTGTCTACAGAAGAGAGACAAATGTCCAGCCTTTCTTCGATGCTCCAGACTATCAATGTTGCAAGTGATTTAGGCGTCTCTAATCAGGCAGATGGCTATTTTCTGGATAGAATCCAGCAGCTTCAAGGTATGCTTAGGGGTGGAGCTCCATATATTTTTTTAAGAAAAAAACACTACAGCACTACAGAAAAATCGTTTCATGAACCATTAAAAGAGGGTTGGAGACAATATGGGTCCCTGGGGAACCAGGTCGCCTGTTTCCGTAATCCATATTGATGATCGCTCAAGATTTTTAAGCCTTCCAAATATTCAAGGATATAGAGGTTTACAGCTTCCTCAATGATTTTTTATTTAACTGATAGCAAAGCGACTGGTCTGAAGTTTTTTTGGAAGATTTTTCTATTCCTTTCTTCCAACAAGACCCATTATTTGTTGCTACCTGAAAATGAAGCAAACTGAGCTGATACTTTTACATTCTACAATCATAATATTTTATCAGAATCAGCTTCATTGTTTGCTTCCCCAATGAATTTGTTGATCTGCTCGCTGTTGAAGACTTCTGATTCCTTTACTCTATAACCAACATTCTTCCTTTCAAGAAATACGTTCACATAGTACTTACTTCCCGAACTGGGTCGCAAAGAAGCTATTTTCTTAAAGAAGTTGCCAAAAAAGGCTCGACTCGAAATAACACCCTAATTATTTTTAATCAGTTATACAGACACCCTGTCGACCAACAATTGCGACGCCAATGGCACATGCACTTGTCCAGATACTAGTGAAAGTGTCCCAAACGCTATATGAATTTTTCACACGTTTACATTATGTAAAACTTGCTTTACTTTCTTGATCTATTTGTGCGTACTTACGGAAAATATAAAAAAGTCTATTATTATTTTTACCAAAATAGGTATGCTGTTACATAAGAGTGTTTATGTTCTTGCGAAGGAATTTGGAAACGGTTGTGATACTAGACATAATACAACTTCGTGCTCTATTAAGCATTATGCATTTTTGTTTTTCGTTTGGTGTTCATGGCGGTTTTAACTGGACCGAGAAAAAGTTGCAGAACTCCAGAGCTAATCCAGTATCAATCGATTTCGATTGATTGTCAATCAACTATTCTACTTCTCCATGAGATCGCAAGAAACAAACAATGCCGCTGTTCGATGATAAAATAGAATTCGCGTGATTATTATCTTGGAAAAAACTTGTATTGAAACTCTGTTTTTTTATCGGAAAGCTTGCGCCGTTGAGGTCCTTTCTCCGAAGCACATCAGTAGTCAATGAAAACTTGACACACTCTGTCTAGTTAACAAGTTGGTATTTGTGTTCGATAGAGATGAAGACAAATGTTACATTGGAAAATTGGATCCGAGGTCTCCAGCAGGTAGAGTTCTTACATATGGAATATTTAACTTGTTAGTTTCGAACAATTTGACAAGTTCAGAATTTTTGAAAACTGCGCCATCACTATTTCTATCAAAATCACCTACAGAAGTTGCAGTGAAAAGTGAATCAACATCAACCATTGTCATTAATACAATAGATATGATAGTGCCTCATATCGCTAATTTCTAACCACAGAGTCTCTGAAGGCAAAGGCATGTACTGTTTATCAAGACCCTTCCAAATTGCTTCAATAACTTTTTCCACTGTCGTCTCTCCTCTCGTGAAGTGAAATGACAGAACTCGAAAAAAAGCACCAGTGGCAAGATATCTAAAAAAACCGTTTGCGTAAAACTACACATCGTTGTTGATACTAATTTTGAGTAAATTTAATGAATTAGAGATGAATCTGTTCCGGGTGATTCCTTATATTCAGTTCCGCCCCTAAACCTTCATTTTTTGAGATAGGGAAAACCTTAAATACAAAACGATATATGTTTGACGATGTCAAACAGGAAATGCTGAATCTGATGACGAAATGTTCGAAACTGAGTGTTATTCGCAAGTTAATGATAGTAAAATAGCCACAAACGACGACAACGGTATGCACAATTCAAAAGATACGCAAAACACCCAAGACGAACAAAAAGAAGGTATGAACACAACACCGACAATTCAAGAAAGAGCTCAAAGTTCAGCAACAAATGAAGTAAGACACAACTTCCTTTCAATCTACGGATGATGCTACCAGAAGATTTTTTTAAGTACCATCAACAAAAAGAAACAGGACAAAACAGCCAAGTACTGGAAGTTGGGGAAATGCTGCAGCGCAAGTGATTTGAGTGCCAAATACAAAAGAAACATAAATGAATCTATTGCTGAGGAAGACAGCGATCTCATTTTCTCAAAGAGTTTGTTACCTGATATGAAAAACTTGAATGATGCTCAATAAAGGCAGTACAAACAAAGAATTTTCGGTTTTACGACGAAATTATAAATGAACAATGTGTACCTATTCCAGTGTACTAGCTATATCCAACTATTCTTCAGTATCATCCGCATCATCTTAATTTAATCAAGCCAACAATCAAGCAAGAAATATATATCAGACAGACAGTCTTTCATCGTAGCGACGATCATGATTAATTCCATGAAAACGAATTTTTTTTAATTCAACACCTGATTCTATACTGAGTAATAATGGTTTTTTCAATTTTTTTTTTTTCATTCTCATTGTTTCATAATACTCATTATTCTATTTTATTTCTTTTATAGACATGTATGTTTCTTAAAATCAATAAATTTATTATTATTACCATCATCGATGACATGCGTCATTGCCTAATAATATACCCCTTTCAATTCAAATTATTATTATTATTATTATTGGAAATAGAATGACTTGTAAAAGAGTTTCTGATGATTTTTACAGCTTACATTTAGGTTTTCGTCAATAACTTAAAAAGTAGCGATGAGTGAGAAGTTAAAATAAAAGCTTATGACAGGGGAGAAATCTCCCTACATTACTGATGATAAAACTCATTATTACAGTTTATTGTATGATTTTCATTATAAAGGGTTTAATGGAGGCCGCGACACGTTTTTCACTATATAATATCTTTCTCAAACCTAAAATAATGAGTTACTTCTAAATTACAACTATTTTATACTCTAACATATTACCTATTTGTATGCCTATTTTCTAATGGAAGAATCTACCTGAAAGGGTCAGATATAAATTCATTAATACAAGAACTTAGTCAAGTGTCTGTTTGTTCCTGTGAAACATACATACCAGGATATTATTTACATATCTATACCAATACACGAAACTTCTTACCAGTGGGTTACTATTTATTTTTGTCTCCAAATGGTCCATGAAAATTTCTGCTACAATGGGACTAAGTAGATTCCATTATGAGACCTTTGCAGAATGAGTAAAAATTTGCATTGAATTGGAAGTAATTCTGTGACAAACAAACCGTAAGCAAGTCTAATATTTCCTATAGGATTGATAGACCACTATCAATCCTGTTCAATAAATGAACAAGTTTTGATACTGAGGCATGTGAATAATACCCAATATATCTTTCCTGGTCTCCTACATATTATTACATCCATCGGTCCAGAATAATCCACACCTGGTTTAACGTAATTTTACAACCTACAAGGTGGTAGATATGCCATTTGTGGATGTAGAGGTTTCAAGTGACAAGTATTCCAACAACTGCTGGCCACTGCACGCAGTCGAAGAATGTGGTATTTTGTCTCACCTGATAGTGGTGAATCAGTAATCGGCTCTGATAGCTTTTGTGATCTGTAATAGTATTTTTCGCGTCTCCTTCTACATCAAAATGCCGAAATTTTTCCTCTGACTCGTAGAATTTCCAATCTACCTGGACGTGGAGATAATTTAAACAGATAACTTGGCTTTGGAATGGTTTATGAATTGTCCAAATTATGTATATCTCCAGCAAAACTGATTTTTTGTACACATTTCAACCAAATTATCTCAGCATCTAATATTTCTGGTGCAGGAAACTCTGAGAGGATTGAAACTATGTTTTTCCGTTAACCAGATGTCGCCCCCTATGGACGATAACCCTCAGGAGTCGTGCAAGCTATGGATTAACGAGGTCTTACCTTTCAAGGTGAGATTCCTAGCTCGGGTTGGACGATAGGCAGTGGAAATCGATATAACACAAGGTATTTCAACAATAAAAAACATTTTGGAGTTTTTATGAACGTTTTATTAGTTATTGCACCACATATTGGACATAAACATCAAACATTTAACACCACTTACATCTTTAGCGCCTATATATCAACAGATCTCTATAATAACATTATCAACATGCAATGTATAACCCTACAACTAAACCAGGTACCCATTAACTTGGCCCTATAGTTTACAAAAAAAACCGATGTAGCAACGTGCTATCAGCAATTGTTTTTTTTGTGATTCGGACCCTCACCAGCTTTTTAAACGAAAAATATGTATACGTTTTTGTTGGTCAGGTTAGGACTCAGATTATTGTCTCCTAGCAATAATCTTTCTGAGTTTGTGCGAAACTTCAGATTCTTAATATTTTTGAGAAGACGATGTTTGAAAATCGTCATATTTGAACACAACGATCAGCAAAGGATTGAAGGGATAATACGAAGCGACATTGAGGTCCCCGTACCGCTTTTCGTATACGGAGTGTTTCTAGAAATGGAGGTTCACAGTTTATCGGTATGATGAATCGTTAAAATATTGGTGGGAGTTTCTGACGCCACTAGATCTTTCATATTGAACTTTGGAGAATTATCCGCCAATCATTAATTTAGTCATTCTAGGTCTCTTCAAATATTCGTATATTTTGAAGCAACATTTCTCACATTACAATTCTATTACGAGTCATTTTTGTCAGACCTGTACTAACCTCAGAACTCTAAATTCAGTCCTATTAATTCTACCTCTTTCGTCAAACTTTTACCGAACCTCGTGGCTATTACTATCCATTCATTCGTGAAGTAATTGTTCATTTCAAGATTTATTATTCAAGAATAATAGACTTTTTGCAAAGACAGTAGCAATGCCATAGACATGAAAGAGAAAATTAACACGGAATTCAGACATGAATTATCAAAAATTATTTAATCGAAGTAATGAAGAACGTACATGAAATTTTCCAAGTCTACACAGAAGAAATTAAGTATGAAATTTTATCTGAAATTTCCTGAAGATTTGTTTCTTGTACCCTAAATTGAAATTGTAATTTTGAATTCATGGTTATTCAACAGATTTTTCAATGATTATTTTACTACACGTCTTTTTGAAAGAAACAAAATACTCAAATTGATTATTTGTAAAATCAGAACAATCTCACTTCAATTTGGATAAACAAAAGTTTCAAAAGGTGGAGCAATCATATCATACCAAATTATCTTAGAGGAAATGTTGAAGAAAACTTGTCAGGTACTCTCCTGGCTGAAAAAAACCGTTGAAATCGAAACTTTTCTTGTTTGATTCCAACATTTTTGAACACCCTCCAAAGGGGGTATTATTTTTGCTGAAGTTTCTGCTGAAGTATGGAATGAGTTGTTTCAAGCCAGTTTTGTTTCTAACATGGTGGTGGATGAACGTAGTGCAAACGACCGTCCACAAAACAGGTATATGGACACCATTGTTGGAGATGGAACCCAATTTGTGTAGTGATTTGTTGTGTTTGAAGGTGAAGCATACCATTGAATACATGTGTTGATGAGAGTTGTGAACAGTTGTTGTTTAAGTGTTTTAATAGAAATAGCATCCTCAGTCACGCCGGTTTAAGGCCGGAGTGGATCGTATATCCATGTGCGAGTAGGATTACACCAACTTGGTTGATCGATTCGCAATAAGTTTACAAGGACAATGTATCGCGAAAAGCAGCAATACGTTATTACGTCGTAGAAAGAGTGCTGGTCAATATAGAGCTGTAGAGAAAGCTGGAACCAGTAATCTAGTCGAAGAAGAAGACGAAGAAGGTGTTTTCAGCAGGCATAGAAATTTACTTCTTCAGGAATTTACGATACTAACAATTATATCGCTTTAAAAAAGAACATTGTTGATTATAAGCTACAGAAGTCATACTTGCGAAGGATTGTACCTACGATATACGGGGTGGAAAGAAAATGAACAGTTACGTAGTAAGTTACACTTCACAAATGTTCGTCCGGCTCAATATTTTTGGCGATCATCACAAGGAAACCCGTGCCTCCATCTCTCAAAACGTACCGTAATCGTCAGGATAGCCGAAATGATGGTTTTTGATTGGCTCAGCAATTCTCAAAGAATGATAGTTTTTCTACCGTTTTACATCACTTATATTTCTACTTATAATAGACATTGATAAACATTTATAATACCTCGTGTGGCAATCATTTGACGGGCTTAGATAGGAGAGTACTTCATTGAATCATCGTTGTTGTCTTTATTTTTGGCCTAAAGGTTCGAGGGTTTCTTATTGCCCCGCATCGCTCTGTAGATAAGGGGTACGTGCAGCCATTCACGGTAACCCAGACGGGGACCCTCGGGGGGAGGGGAATTTGGAAAAAAAATCTTAGCTCTCCTATCTCGTGTCACAATCTAGTTTTGTTGGGGAAGATGAAATAAAATTATGAACTACGAGTAATCTAGTCATAGTTTGGTCCTCCTCAGAAGAAACTGTCGACATTCTTAAAGACGACACTTGTAACGTTTTTCACGACCGGATTCCTGGAAAACTTCAGCGAATTTAATAGTCTTTTCACGTAATTTTCCGCTGTTTTACTCGTCGTCTTCTTCATTCTGGTATGTTACGTATCTCACTGATGATTTTTCTTCATTTAGTAATGACTGGAAAGAAATTAAAGAATTAGGAAACAACAATTATTCCGGGTTATTCAGCATTCAAATATTTTTTGAAGATGATGGTGGAATGCATAAATGTAAATGGATGCTTTAACTTTTTACACGCTTATATTAGCTCCACTGTATGGGTGAATGTATGTATGTATGTTTATTTGTATGTATGTTTGTAACTTTCAAGCTGGGGATCTGTATTTACAGAATTATCGGCATTATTGCTTGATCTATTCGCGGGCAGATGGCGCTGTACGTAGGTTGTTCAAAAGAAAATAAAAATAAATAAATATTGAAGAATATCGAACTGAAAGATTGAAAATAAATAAAACAATCTTGCATTTAGAACATGTGGCCAACAATATCCATGGATATTCGTGATTAGAAAAAAACTTTTTGAAATTTATATCCTTCAAGGTTGATGGAGTTTATCTGTCAAGATATTCTGAATATATGAATATACTGCGCAGATTCGATTACTTATTTTTGTTAAAGCGCAGAAATCAAGCATCCATAATATTTCTACACAAGCTATTGAATGGTGAAGTTGACTCCCCTGTATTATCATTACAAATAGATTTTCATGTGCAGAGATTGGAGTCTAAATCAAATATCGCTTTTAAGTACAAAAGAGCTCGAACAAATACTATATCTAAAGCACCAATTGATGTGTTCAAATGCTAACAAATTGTCAATCTATATGATATTTTTAACTGCAGTGAGAGTGAATTAAAAAACAGATCTCGAGCACATCTATAACAATTTGTGGATCAATCATAGATGTATCCATGTCATCTTTTATTTGTTGTAACACTGTTACTATACTTCTAATTATATTGTATTTGCAATCCTTCAAAAATTGCCTTGTAAATGGTTTCTGTTGGGCAGTGAATGCTATATTATTATTAGTATTATTACATCAAATATGTGTGCCATGTTATGTATTCCACCCAACGAAAAGACTTAAAAATTCATTTCTTGAAATGAAAATATTCAACCATGTAGAAAGACTTTCAAACAGTACTACTCACCCTCTTTTCTTCTTTAGTGGGGGGGCTTTTCAAACAATACAGTAACGGGGCATACATAAAATTCAAAATTGCTATTCCAAATAGCATCCATTCGAAGCCAATAGTTTTTACTAGTGTTCCACTCATAGCTGGCCCTGAAAATATTAAACACAAAATGTCAAACTACGTTTTATGTATGAATGAAGAGCTGACATTTTGAAAATGTCATGAAATTAGATTTTCCATTGGTAAAACTGGATAGGTAGAAATATATGTTGATTATGAATTAATCCTAAGGGAAAGTTGTGGAAATTGCTCCTTGACTTCTATTTCAAATTATTGGAGAATCGCAACAAGATAATTTGACAATGAACAACTTCAAGGCAAATTTGAATTAAAATAGCAAAATGAGACGATCTTTGATACATTTCTTTGCAAAAATGCTTGATTTGTCATATCTGCAAAAAATCCAAGTGGATCGATTTTTAGCACGGTTTGGTAAGTTGAAATTTTGATGAATTCGTCGTTAACTTAATGGTAACATGAAAATTTCAAAACAGAATATTCGTAGAATTCTTAACATATCAAAAATATTCCAGAACTTTTTTTCACGGATTTCGCTAAAGCTATTGTTAAATATCATTTAGGAATCGAAAAATTTGAATATTGTACCATCTATATTTGACTAATATAATGTGTAATATAGTTTTTTCGATTTAAGCATGGTGTTGATGTTATTTTTTTTAATCGAGTGTTATAGAAATAAAATTTTGATGCAATAATGAAAAGAAGGGAGAACATATCAACTTCTTCAGCGGTTTTTATTATGAATTCATAAATAAAATCTCTAAATTTAATATTTCTTGAAAAATCTTTGGAAAATTGTTTAGAATTTCCTACGTTCGGCCTTTTTAATAACGATTTATTTTTCCAATAGGGAGAAGAATAATAATTCAAGAATATTTAACAATGATTGTGCTATACAGTTTTACACCTTTTCGATCTAATTTGTATGGACTATGGTGCCAACAGTTAAAAAGTCGGGTCTTAGTAACGGTCTTCAATAAGAAGACTTGAATGAATAGTTTCCATTAACAAAATGACGAATCAAATACCAGTTCAATTGTATAAAATATCGATCAGCCTCGATCAATGAGATTATATAATTGCTGTAATTTTGTTTACAAAATGTAGTTCAAAAAACGGTTGGAAAGCAGGAAACAAATCTAATCAAACAAGTCTATACGTGATAAATAAAGTGTAGCAAAATCATTACGAAACTGAATATTGAGACATTTGAATTCAGTATATCACTAGGACTGTATTAGTTTTACTTTTACTGTTCTACTGACTGATATTTTTTGTAAAATTCATGAGGTTCATTTCAGGAATTTTTGAAATCGACTTCAGTGATATTTCAGGAAACTTACGTATCGTAATTATTGGTCAACTTACGAACTTTTGAGAATTATTTGACAAATAATCATTGATATTCAGAAATAATAATTAATTATGGTTGAATGGGGCATTTGCTAACAGAGCTCTCTCAGTAAATCTCCTCAATCGTCGTAAAACGCCGTCCTTTCATAGGTCTCTTCAATTTTGGGACCAGGAAAAAGTCGCATGGAAGCAAATCTGGTGAATACGGTGGCTGAGGCATGATAACAAGAAAAACAATCACTAATCGAATGTACTTAGCCCGCGAAAATTGAACATTCACTTTATCTTCTTAACAGTTCATGTGTGTTCAAACTCCTCCGAAGAATTTTGACCAGAAATTAATTTTTCAACAGATTAGTCTGCATTTGAAAGTAGGTACTGAGAATTATTGAAAATGAATTGGCAAAAAAGTTAAATCAGTTTACGATCAATAATAAAACTAATCCAGACTTTGTTCTCTTCAACTGTAAAAATTGTTATGAAAAAAAGTCAAAATAAAAAATGTATATCAACTGAATAGAATTAAGGAGCAAAATGAAGAAGAGAATCCAATATTCCTCAAGTGGTGTTCCAGGATTTGACGACTCGACGTCACCTCATTCTATTCCTGAGAGTCCTGGCAAGGCAAATATCTACAGACTGGCACTCTTGCACGAAAATAGCCCAGATTTATTCAAAAAGACTGTATTCAATATGATTTTTCTCTAGATTGTCATTATTATTTGAGACCAATTCTGTTGCTGCTGTTTCTACCAAGTAGGCATTTGTAAACTCGTGAAAAAGTTTGTTGTTGAGTAGATATGTGATCATTTTTTCTTATGATAGTGATAATGGTCATTCCAGGAAGTGAATTGTTTTGTAGTTATCGATATGTCAATAATTATCAATAGAAAACACTGAAATGATGGTTACAATGGACTTTCTAGTCACCCACCGTCATCTCTATTTCAGAACACACCATTATGTCGCTAGAATAGCAAAGGCTGCTTCTCAAAAGCTTGGAACACCGGCACTGTTTCGAACCAAAAAACTGTACACACCTCAGCAAATTTTGATGCTTTATAAAGCTCAGATCAGACCTTCTTTGGAGTATTGTTCACATATATGGATCTTCGCCGCTAAGCATAACCTAAAGCTGCTGGTGATTCCACCAAGAACAGTACATATCAGAAAAAGCGACGGGCTGTGACTGCTCATCGTTTTCAGGTTCAACTCAGAACTTCCCGAACTTCACTCTTTAAGAACTTTTTCATTTGGAGAACTGCGTTTATATGGAATAAACTTCCTGAGAAGGATTTCCCAAATGAATTCAATCTCCACGATTCAAATCGAACGTGAACAGGCATCGCCTCAAGAATTTGTCTGTAGTGCTTGTATTTTGAAGGTGTCGAAACTCATATGAGCTGAGAATTCAAGAGGACTTACCTCCTGAAGTGCAATTCCGTGCATTGAAAGCTTTTCAATCTATTGTTGACAAATTGATTTGCAGGTAGTGGTTCCACTAGTTAATTACCGAAAAATCAATTAGGATAATCATCATTTAACACACAAAGTCCACATCTGACCAAAAAACTTCAGGTTTATAAACAGCTAACCCTTGTCTTTAGATTCAGAATCAATTTGCTTCTCCTGAAGATGCTAACCTTGTTAGCGAAACGCGCGTCGAGTGCAAAAATATCAGTTTAATGTTAGGGTAATTGATCTCTAGAAAAAGCTTCACACCAAAGGTTCCAATCTCATCGTTTAAATCGATTTTTGTGAAAATGTTAGTGTTTTCGGGTACTTTCATCAATATGGCTTTTTGGAGACTTTTTGAAACAAATGATAACATTACATGTGAGGAATCTGTGTCAATCGATAGGGATCCGGAATTTGAAAATAAGGACTTACATGTTCAAGTTGAGAGAGTAATTTTAAATATTCATGAATGTTTGAAGAAGGAAAATTGTCACACTTCACAGAATGCTATTGTGAATAGAATATGCGAGTTAACGAAACTATCTCGTTCGACAATTCTTGGAGTCATTAAAATAGGGGATGTCATGCAATGAAAGAAAATAAAGGAATAAAAAATTCGCAAACGTCGATGGTGCTACAAAAGATGTGATTCGGCGAACAATTTATGGTATATTCCAAAAAAAAATGATTTGGTATAAATTACTCGACTATCCCGATTACAATTACAAATCTTTAGAAACTCTACGAGGTGTCTAATTGTCTTGTGGTTTCAAATATAAAAAATTGAACAATCGGATGGTCATAATGGAATCAACACGCATTGTTCAACTCCGACAAGAATATTTGAGGCGAATGAAAAGCTACCGAGAATCCAGCAGACATATAATCTACCTCGACGAAACTTGGTTTGACACCCATGATGTTGTTAAATATGGCTGGGTAGACGAAACCAAGTATTGTGCTTTGAATAAACCTTCTTCAAGGGGAAAACGTGTTACAATTTTGCATGCCGGGAATGAAAGTGCTTTCATAACTAACGCTTTGCTTCTGTCGGCCAAAAATATAAAAGATTCGTCTGCTGATTATCACGAAGATATGACTGCGGCTTTATTCGAAACCTGGTTCAGTGAGCAGCTTCTCCCGAATATTCCTCCAAACTCGGTTATTGTTATGGATAACGCTTCGTATCATTCTTGGTTATTGGCTACAATACCAAACAATAACACAAAAAAGCAGATATTGTTGATTTCATGCGAAATCATGACATGGAAATACTAGAAAAGATTCCAACGAAAAAGGTATTACTGGCGACCATAAAACAACGTAATTTCAAAAAAGAGTATATTATTGATTCGATGTGTGAAACACGTGGTCATATTCTCTTACGTTTGTTTCCATACTATTGTGTGTTCAATCCAATTGAAACAGTTTCGGCCACAATGAAAGAAAGCTTGCGGAAATGTAATCAGTCACCGACTTTGAATGCTATAGTGCTTGACAATATAAGGCGAGTGGTTAATGAAGTAGGTAATAGTGATGTGTACGAAAACTGTGTGGCCCACGTTATGAAAGAAGAGAACAAATATTATGTACAAAGTTCCATAAATCCGGTCGTTACCCAACCCGATGATGATTCCACCTCATCCGAATATAGCGAAGAAGAATTTTGTTTTTTCTAGCAATTTTGTTGGCCTCTATTATTTTGTAAATATATGTTTGACGAGAATTCGGTGTGATTATTTGTGTTTTCATTGTATTTTAGAATTTTCGACTCGGAAATCAACTACTTTAAATTTCGAAGTTTTCCATAATTACCCATGGTGGAAAAATTCAGTTGAGATAACTTTTTCATGTGGTGATCAATTGCTATGATTGTAAGAATAAGCAACTGAAAAACTACCACTGAAAAATAATATGCCGACGCCTATGTCGAGGCGGGAATTCCTTCTCTGTGTTGTTCCAATTGGTATCGGAAATACTATACCAACCAGTTCTGTTTGAACCACGTTGGTATTTCCCCATTCCCCACCTAATCCTTAGGCTTAGTGATCTGGAATACACTCCATATCCTGAGCCTTCTTTGGTTTTTGAGCCATCTGTATATATGCGTATTGCTTTTGTAGCATTACGCAGTATTATATGTATATGTGTTAGTTTTATTCGAAACTACAAAAACATTCAGATTTCTGGATGACTTTTCAGAGGTAGGCACTTACCGATAGCGAAACCGAGACAGAAAGCAACGTCGCCGATGGCGTAGACACTGCCATAGACGGCGGTGTGCCTTATGTCCACCAGGTAGCCCAGTTCTGGCATCATGGAACTGTCGACCATGCCGATGGCGAATCCCAAACCGGCGTTGGGAATGATCAAGTGGTTGATGTTTGTTGCCAAAGGTATCTGTATGAAAAAAATGAACAGCGAAATGTATATACAGTGCATTTCATTGAAAACAAGCCACCCTGAATAACTTTTGGTACAATGATTTTCAGAGGAAATAAAAAAAACGTCAACCATAGTATACAGGGGGACACATTTTGACATATTCACATTTGATTTAACTTTTCCTATAGCATCCCCAGAGTATGTCACCATTTTTTTTAATGAATCAATTAATTTGCATTATCAGATGTTCCATGATGAATAGATTACAACAAAGTAGAATACATTATGTTCTAAAGCTCATAGTTTGGAAGCTTAAGACTATTTGAATTGAAAACGAGTCACCCTGAATGAACTTCTGTAAAATCTGTTACCTAGGTTTCATAGGTGTTTTTGTGAAGTATTTCTCAAAAACGTCTTATTTTGACTAATTTGAATTCGATATTCTCTTCATTTTGTATTTTTCTCATTTTACAATAACGATTACCTATCAGGTGAAGTTACAGTTGGTGTTTCTGTTTCTGTGAATTCTTGAGAAGCAATGGTTTATACGCTTCGACAACGGATCTAAATAGTGAGAACCAGAATGGAAATAGTGCTAGAACTGCTGCTCGTCTGTTCAATGATAATCATCCAGGAAGAAATGTATGACATAAATATGTTTCGGAATTATTGAACAAATTTATGAAAACTGGATCTGTTAATAATAAAAAGCACAACCGTTCAGGAGTTATCAACGATGAAGATGTTTGCACTGCAGTTTTAGGGCACATTGGACTAATGGAAAATTCGCAATCCTTCATGAGTACAAATTTCATCCATATAAGATTAGTCTAGTTCATGAATTGAACGAAGATGATTTCGATAGACGTATCGAGTTTTGTAAAAGTCTTACTGAACGGATCAACTTGCATCAGAATTTGTTGTATGAAGTTTGTTTCTCGAATTAATGTACGTTAAGTTTGAATCGGCCAAATTGTTGACATTTGATTGATACGAATCCTCATTTATACCGTCAAGTTCATACCCAACGACCTCAAAAACTGAATGTTTGGGCAGGAATTTTAGGTGACCGTGTCATAGGACCTTTTTTATCGATGATAATTTGACTAGTGGTAAATATTTGGATATGTTGGAGAATCGAAGAATACCGTGCATCAATAGGGCAACTGAGGAGGATATAAATTCATTCGAGAACGAAATAGTTTGTCAGCAGAATGGTACCCCTCCTCATTATGCAGCTCCAGTGCGACAATTTTTAGACGATCATTTTCCTGGTCGCTGGATTGGCAGAAAAGATGCTACGGGATGGCCACCAAGGTCTCCGGATCTCACTCCTGTAGATTTTTTTTATGGGGTCATTTGAAGTCTAAGGTGTATGAGATAGAATCAACAAAATTAGAGAAAGAATATCATGAGGCATTGCTGAGAAATAATTCTCGAGATTGTCATGAAGTATTCAATGAAATCAGTTTTCAATGACTCCAAAGAGTACACGAAGTTGGACATGATGCGCAAGGGTAGAAACGTCAAAATAAGTCTGAAAACTATCGGGAGAAACAAATGTATAAGAAAATAGATATTTCGAAATAGAATTTCAAAATATTCATTTCTCCCAACTAGTCAACAATTTTTCTCTAAGGGTACGTTTCATACATACAGTCGAACCGCGTTGAAGTCAATCGAGTCCCAGGCACACTAGTGCTTGGGTCAGACCTTTCCTGCACTGATGAGAGGTAACACCTCGAAACCGGTATGTAGATGATCTACTCGATTGATTTCAGCGTGGTCCCGTAACTGGATGGATGAGAAATATCAGCGAGACTAGTCTCTGTGAATGAATTTCTATCGAATATAATTTGATTGCCATCGTGATATTAGCCGGAAAAGTAATTCCCCTACTGTGTTGGTACATTGGGAGGGATGAATGTTTCGAAATTCATTTCCGAAATATCTATTTTCTATTAGGCCCACATGGGCACATAGAGTTCTCTACCTATGACTATTTACGTGTTTCGAATATTTTCAATCGCCATTTATCAGTAACTTGTCATATAAACTATTTCTGCCAATCAAAAAAGAGCTAAAAAAGTATACACATTCTAATATTGAAGTAAAATTTTCCTTCGTCTTCAGAATTGGAAAAGTCTAAAGATTCTTACAGTTTTTCCTTTGGTTCCTTTTATTTTCAAAACGTCTTTTTTGAAAGCTATCGAGACCGTTTCGAAAATAAAAGGAACGAAAGGAGAAAATTGCAAGATTCATTAGACTTTTTACAACTCTGATGACGGATGCAGATTTCAGGCTTCGAAACGTTGAGATGAGTAACTGTATTTCCCAGCTCTTTCAGTGATAGGCAATAGAACTTTTTTTTGTGAAAAGTACTTCGTATTTACGCAGTAATCAATCAAGGTGAACCAAAAAGTTTGCTCTTTCTACACCTGGTTAAAGTTCTCCATCAGAAATTCTATATTTTTCAGATTGTGTGAGATTTACTCCACGAAAAATGTCTTTCGTAACAGACCACGGTCAAAAAAACCCGGAAAATTGCTTTCTCATAAAAAACATTATTTTTTCTAAGAATTACTTGTGTCAAAATCAAGTTATATATTGTAACTGATGTAACCAATTTTGTTCATTACTCTTGTTTATTCGTAGAAAAATCATATTGCTATTATTATCATTATTATCATTTGTATTTCTCTGCGCAGGTATCTTCTTGCTTCTGTATCAAATAAACTGTTGAATGTTATAAATTGATGAGTTTCAAATATTTTTCTCCCCTTACAGTATATCAAGGAAAGTGTTTTTAAACATGTTTTTCTATTGCCTCATTTCTTCCTTTCTAAGTTATCACTCGACATATTTCTGAGTCTCTTCCTTTCATTAGATGCGTCATTATTGCATAGTCGGTCTCTACAGCTCTTTCAAATTGGTATAGCAGCCATCTTTTCCTCCGACATTTTGATTTTATCCACTTGAACCCTTTCATGATATCCCTATCGTGAGTGTGCATGAAAATATACACCAGCATCTTCTACAGTCTACCGTATTAAATTTCGAGTGATTTTTAGTATTCTTGCCAGCAAACCCTTCCATTGATACCCATACCATCAACAAACCACCACTTACCAGCATCAAGCAAATACCAATGACGATCAGCCCCAATAAAGCGGCTAACCATCGACCCATCTTGTGCCCGAGCGGCCCAAATAAGTTCGTGCCAATCAAGTAAGATATGCTAGCCGGGAGGAAAGTGACGCCCTGCTTCCACCTTCCAGCCCCCATCGTATCCATCATCCAAATGGGGAGAGAAGGTTCTAACATGGCTATGCCCATGTTGGCGAATGTTATGGCACCTGAAATTTTGTCCTGCTAAAATGTGTGACTAGAAAGTTTCGACGAAGCTAATTGGTACATTTCATAATTTAATACATTGAAGTAGTAGAAGAAGCATTGCAACCGTATATTAGACGAAGAAGAAGATACCAAATCAACTCACCAGCAGCAATGATAATATATGGATCAGTCGCCAACTGCTTCAAAGAAGGTGGATCAGACTCTTGTCTGATAACTGCTGGTTGTAACATCAGCAACTGTAACACTGCAATGAAAATGTACATTCGGTAATTTCACAAAGAGTTCATTCATTTCAGGTCAGAATTTCCACACAGAATAGTTATTCATCAATTTATATCAATGTGAATGAAATTAAAATTCAAGGCAATAAAGATCAGTATCTGGAATGACATGAATCGTGATGGTCGAGTTTCTATACATCATCAAGTCATCAATATCATTCAGAAGTGTTATGATACTTGCTGAAATGTAGTGAAGTTGCTCCGTACACACTTTCAGCTGAAAACTTTGCTATATCTATGTATTCATGATATTCACTTCATAGTTCACTGATAGAAATTTTGAGTGGAAAAACAGTGTACTTTGTGTCATCTCTCTAAGTACCGTAGTTTTCCCGTAATTATTTATTAAAAATCGAATGTGGTAGGGTGGTGATGTCACGTCCCTATTCCCGCTTCTTGTTCGATTGACCAATAGGAACAATATAAATAATCAACATTGCCAAATCATAGAATTTATGGAGCCTATAATTATCAATTCAATTATGGAAGTGTATATGAACCCGTTAACGTTTCAATTAATGAAAAAGTCCCCATATGGAATAAAATGTACACGAAAAATCATGTTTGCAAATGAGTTCTATATCTGAAATCAGTACACAAAGTCGATAGATCACAAAATATTTACCTGAACTATGATTTTATGCATTATTAAGAATCATTTCACATATTCAATTTATTCTACAATCCTCAATCTGTACAACTGCAATTTATCACAAAAAAAAACGGTTCCTACATACATACCTCTTTCTAATACAGCTACTAAATTCAAGCGTCATACTCGCTTGAGTAATCTGTTGAATCTTCCAAAACTTAAGAGGAAGGTTGAATGAGGTCAAGTATAGACAGAATTGATTGTACTCGACCTGATCCAACAAAAGCTTCTGAGGTAATAATACCATTAATCATATGATAAAATTCAATTAACTTTGTTTGATACAATTGGAATTTTCTGTAATTATTCATTCATTTTTTTTAAGAATGAAGCCAGCAAACAAATAAATATACAATAAGATCGTTCGAATCCACGAATTAAGCATACAAATGGACAATAATATTTGCCTTGATAACTGATATAGTACAAGTTATATCTAAATATAATTCTAAATAGAATTAAAGGAGCTGTATTTTCAAATGGTTTTCGAATGCTCAGGAACCCTATTAAAATAAATCAATTATGCATTCATGCCACCCACCAAAAAATAAGAAATTCAACGTTACTGGTATATTAGCCATATTGTTATCCAGTCAGCCAGCGCCCTCTATAGTGTGTGCGACAATGTGCTCTTTCTAATGTCAGTGGTTTCCACAAACTTCGTATTTTTGTTAAAATAATTTCAAAATGAATGTTAATAAGCCTAGTTTTGTTGAAGCTGACTCCCGACAACTTACCCTGAGTCGATTTTGAAATGATCAATGAATTTTACTTGAAAAATTTGCAATACTTTGGTACCGAAATGAAAAATGAAAACCGTAGGTGGTATATTTAGTAGGCCTCTTTTTTTTATATGATATTCATTTCAGGATTTGTCTTTTATCGAAGGATGGACAGTTCTGATTTAATTTTTATTTTATCTCTGCCAAAGAGCAGTATGGTGACTGAAAAGAGAAGCAAAAATATGTACAGTGAAATGTAGAATTACTCCAAAACATATCAATTAAATAACCTGAAAAAATATTTTTCGGACTGTAATCTAATGACACGGAATATGCAGCAAAATAGGTACCCGCCGAGACCTACCTTTCACAAAAAAACGTTCTGTAATTATATAATGGTAACAGTTGTATTCACATCGAGTTGACAACAATAACAACAAAAATGGCATCTGTCAAATTGGATCATCAAATCTGTGATTGGATATTGAAAACCAATACACTTGGCAACTAGACACGATCAATTTTATTGGCCAACAGACACGCGGCCAATTTAAATTCTTGCTTTTGAAATTATTCTTTTTTCGGCAAATATAAAGAGATTTTGGTACCGATTAGGCTTGATAAGTATAGATAAGTGACTTTTCATACCACTGTCAGTTTGACGTCTGAAATTTCAGTGGAAAAAAGTATAGAATTCCAAAGTTCAACACATATATATTCACTGAATGGATACTTCGAGATATCCTATAGTTGTAAGAGGTCGCTGCAACAAAGATCTTGGTAGAAGCGGAAGCATTATAATCCCGATAGTTCCTGAAATTCCACTTGGAGTTAACATGTTGAATTCTCCATCATAAACATGTAATGTTTCTTGAGAATAAAGCATCACTATCACTATATACCTCTAACTCGATCAGTCTATAAGCAAACCAGGATCATTTTTCATAGCATGAAACAAGCCCATTATCAGTGAGTCCAAATCTTCTATATTTCCATTATAGGGTCCATTATTCGTTCAGATACTCTAGGAATTTTTTACATGCATCACGCGAACACGGTAGGCTAAGGTGCTGAAGGCATCGTCCGGGCAGGCCATGAACTCTTCAATCCGACTTCAATCCACTCGATCCACAGCTTATCTTCAATGTTGTCGAAATAGACCTCATGTATTAGCTTATCGTTCTGTTACCGAAGACGTCAAGCGACTGCTGTATTATTATCTACCTTGAAGAGAAAATCTCCAATTCCTGCTCTCTCATAGTTGTGGACCATACAGAGGAGATGACTGGAGATCCAGATGACTTCACTGGCTCCATCCACTACCATCGTTATTATTATTATTATCATAAAAACTAAACTTACATAAAATTACACATTCTATTATGTGATCGAGTTGATGATCTACTTACATCCATCACCCAGGGCTAGTGCTGACAGTACCAGGAAAGGTGCAGATTTCCCCACAAATTCATACATCACCCCTCCGAAGGGCGGCCCGATCAACACCCCTAGTGCCAGCCCCCCTAGAGCTATGCCCATGGCGTTTCCTCGTTCCTTGTCGTCTGGATACCTCTCTGCTAGCATACCCATTCCAGATACGCTGGAACACGATGAGCCTATTCCTTGTAGGGATCTCGCTATGAACAGGACACTGTAGCTACGACCAAATGCGAAAACTGAAAAGATAATAAGGGATTGGAATATGTTCCAAGTACGGAAATGTATCATTATCTTTTAGTTCATTTTGGTTTCAGAATCACATATAAAAAAGCCTCTTTCTTGGGTGGAAAGTTTTCAGGCAACAAAAATCTCAATACATATAAATAAGTACCTACTACTGGGAAGTCGTGTTTTTTATTAGTTTACTGAATATTTGCTTTTTATTTATTTCTTCCTAACCTACGACTCTTTTTTTCGTCGCATTATTATCACCAAGAACTTGCAATTCTCCCCTTATGTTTATTCATTATCCTTCGGCTTGTACTTCTCTCAAGGTTTCTTCAATACTGGGGTTGTTTGTTTTTTATGTTGCTGTTTGGATTTTTTTTTCAAATTTCTGTTCTTCATTTTTTTCGTCTATCTTCCTCTTATACTGGTTGGTCTTCCTCTCCCTTGTTTGGGTATCACTGATGAATTACCAGTCAAAAAAATTCATTATTTTCTAAATGAATTTCACTATTTTTGTTTCTGAAATATCCAGAATTTTTAAGAATTCCGTATCTCTACTTGCTATTATTTCTGTTTTGATCTAATCACGTAACCGATATGCCTTTAATTCAGTAGAATAGCTCACAATAATATTGACAGCCCCCTCCAGCTTCATTCTTGAATGTATTTTATTTGTTCAGCAAAACCATAAATTATATGAATTGATGGATGTAGCCGTTACTACGTGGTAGGAGATCATTATGAAAGAAGAGAATTGAAACTATATTTTTTTACTACGGGCCCCAAAACAAATCCTTGTGTGACACCCATAGTGATAGAGATATAGTCAGATTCACTGATACTTCACGATTCACGATTTTTCCGTAATATTCGTCCAGATAAATTGCTGTTAGCTTATTATATAACAAAGTATGATTGACACAGTCGAATGCCTGACTGAGATCGCAAAAGATCCCAATAAAATTATCGGTTTCTCAACATTCAAGATTTTATGTGGCATGGACTTTATGAAACTTCGTGAAGGGTTTCTGTATCAACAAGGAAGTCGCAACACTAATTATCTGTGAAGATGTCCATTGGAGTTATGGACAAAGCCAATCTTTCCATTTATCTATGGATACTTGCCTTTATGTTATTCGCTCTATGGTAAAAACTTCATAATAAAAATATTGCCCCACGTTGGGCGCCGAAAAATCGCTATGCCTGTATTGGCTCCCAACTTGAATCAATCTTTGTATGGTGACTTTTTACCATACAATGGAAAGCAGCTTCCTATCTGACATTGAGCGCAACTGAATTATTTGTATTGAGGATTATTGGAACGCTTACGTTTGTCAGGTACGTATAAAATAATCTGAAAGATACATTCTTTTTGTAATAGTAGCAATCATTTGGCAACTTTCATTCCGATCAAGACTAATTGGTGATGACAGCAACAATAATGACTAATGCTAATTTGTTAGTGATACAAACCCTGGTACTCATAAGCCTGTGGGTGTGTTATCAGTTAATTGAAGAAAACCATGTATCATTCCATTGAGATTTCACAGCTCTGACAATAGCTGTGAACGCACTGTAAACTGGTAACGAAAAAACCCCCGAAGTGATTCCTTATGCTCTGATTCGGCTCATCAACGAACGTCCCTAATCGAGTTAGCACGGCAGAGAACATCTGAAGGAGCTTTGTGATGGCACGCGGCGTGTAAGTGGTTTTAATTGAATCACTTTCGGGAAGAGCGCTAATAAGAAGCGAATTCACAACTAATGGAGATGCCCCACCGGCGTAGTCACTACATAAAAAGTGAATCAGATCTCTTTGCGTCAGATCTATCTCAGCGCCAATTAAAAAGAATAGACTTCCTCTTGTGATAGCTGACAACTAACAGACAAGTGGAGAGAAGAAACTAGTAGAGAATTGGGTCACCGATTAGGATTCTGAATTTACAGTATAAGAGAAAGTTTTCAATGGCTAGTAATGTTTTGATGTTTATACTAACACATTTTGAGTCGAATGGTGCAAAGTTTGGTTCCACAAATCTGCTAAGTGGACTCTTCGCAAATTTTCCATGGGTATAATTTCGACTCTGATGATTATGAGCCTCTGTCTTCCATGAAGACTATAGGAACTATAGAAAAACACACGAAGATCGTAAGAGACCCTACTGCATCAATTGAAGGGAAGTTGTACCACACTTAGAAAAAACACAAAGTCTATTTGTTTGAAGGTGATTGTCAATGTTTCATGATGAATTTCACTAGTTCGGACTTCCATTGTCTACTATATAAAAAGATTTGAAATTCCTGAAACAACTAAAAAAGAAGAATTGAAAATGAATAGCTGAAAAAAACAATTATAATAACCAAAATAAACCTGAAATGAGATAATAATGAAATAAAATACAAGTGAAAATAAAACAATTGAATTAATAAAAATGAAGAAATGAAAAAAGAAAATAAAAATAGAAAGTGGAGAGATTCCAAGTCATATTAGTTCACAACGTTTCGATTGTTAGTATCTACAATCATCTTCGGCTGATGACTGGACTGATTCCTCCGAGAGATGACTATTTATAGGTCGTTCGAGTACTTTCACTTATCCCCGCTTTCCATTTTCCGCTTCATTGGTTCCGTGGGAGATGACTGTTTGGCGGGAGTTGGCCATTTTTCGCTTGATGATGGGTTTCCATATGTTGCGTATTTCTACGCTGGCTTGGCTAAATACCATGTTGGACAATATGTATGCGGCTTCCTTGAATTTGTTGGTTTCCCCTTGCTGTGTGTGTTTCTTGTGCTCGGCAATGCGAACATTCAATGGCCTCTTAGTTTTACTAATATAGGATTTTCCGCACTCACAGGGTATCCGGTAAATGTAATTCTTGGATTAGCAGTCCGCGTTTGGTGGCCTGATTTTCGTGAGGCTGCTACTGATAGTGTTACCGGATCTGAAGCAGGTTCTGATGTTGTATTTGGAACCAATTCGTCTTATCCTCTCCGATAATCCTCTGATGTAGGGAAGTGCAAGCACTGGTTGTGACGGCTTCTCTTCCTTGCGAGGCTCCTGTTATCTTTTAGCCAAAGTCTTTTCTACCATCGCTTTGGAGTAGCCATTCCATTGAAGATCATTTTTGATGATGTCTAGTTATTTCTCGAGACCTTCCTTCGTATTACAGAGCCCAAAAGCACGGTCTAATAGAGTCTTGACGATTTCTCTTTTAGTCGATTGATGGTGGTTGAATTCGTGGTTCAGATACTGTCCCGTATGAGTGGATGTTCGGTATACAGATGTTTCCCACTTACTGTCGGTCCTCTTCACCAATACATCCAAGAATGGCAATTTGTTGTGGATTTCCTTCTCCATTGTGAAAGTGATGGAAGGTCTCACGCTGTTGATGTGTTTCAGGAAGGCGTCTAGTTCAGTATTCCCATGGTTCCATATTATGAAGGTGTCGTCAACATATCTCAACCAGACTCGAGGTTTCTTGTGGGCTTCTTCAATGGCCAGAGTTTCAAACCACTCCATATATATGTTGGCTATGACTGATGAAAGTAGCGATCCCATTGGCAGTCCCTCATCTTGTGTAAAGAATTCGTCCTTCAGTTGGAAATAACAGTTTCGTACACAGCATCCTAGTAATTCCATGATTACTTCTATAGGTAGATTCGTTCTTTCTTTCAGGTTTTCGTCTTCGGATAGCTTTCTCTGTATGATTTGGAGTGCTTCCTCGACCGGAACGTTGATGTAAAGGCTTTCCACGTCGAAACAAATCAGTTGATTTTCCTGTGTGACCTCAATTGACCCTAGTAGTTTGACAAAATGCCTTGAATTCTTCACAAAAGACGGTGTTTTTCCTTGTAATGGTTGTATTGAGGGAAGTAAAGGTCTAGACAAGTTTTGAGTAGCCGAATCTCTGGAGCTGATGATCGTTCTATGCGGAACGTCCTTCTTGTGGATTTTGGGTAGTCCATACAAGTGAGGGGGCTTACTGTGATACGGTATTAGCGATGATCTTTCCTTGTCCCAAAAATAGACTTGGTGTTTTTTCAAAATCTGGTACAACTTCCTTTCGATTGATGCAGTAGGGTTCCGTACAATCTTTTTGTATCGTCCCTTCTGAAGAACCTCTTCGATCTTCTGTTCGTAGAGAACGGTATCCATTACCACAGTAGCGTTTCCTTTATTCCTTTATCTGTAGGTAGGATCTTGATGGTGTTGTCTCTACGTAGGCCGTTCAGAGCTCTACGTTCTTCATTGCTGATGTTAGATGTTGGAACTGGTTCTCGATCCAGCTGTTCCATCTGAACTCTTCTGCCTCGGTCTGGTCAATAAGGGAACTGGTGGATTCCACTGAAGTAATTATCTCCAAAGTGGGCACAGATGTTGGCGTATTGGCGAAATTTAGGCCTTTTGGGCTCTGTAATACAAAGGAAGTTCTCGAAAAGGAACTAGGCATCATCAAAAATGACCTTCAACGGAATGGTTACTCCAAAGTGATGCTGAAACAGGCTTTAGCTAGAAGACAGCAAGAACTCCACAAGGACCAGAAGCCGCCGCAGCCAGTACTTGTACTTCCCTACATCAGAGGAGTATCAGAAAGGATAAGAGGGAATGGGTCCAGGTATAACATCAGAACATGCTTCAGATCTGGGAACACTATCCGTAGGAGCCTCACCAAGTGTGGACTGCGATTTCATGAATTTCATTTACCAGATACCCTGCGAATGCGGAGAATCATACATCGGTGAAACTAAGATGCCATTGAAAGTTTGCATTGCCGAGTACAAGAAACACACACAGCGAGGAGGAAGCAGCAAACCCAGAGTAACAGAGCATGTTTGGACTCATCAACATAAATCAAATGGGCTCAAGCTGAAATCATCCACAAGGAGGAACACTGATTTAAGAGAAAATTCAAAGAAGCCGCATATTCGTTGTCCAACAACGCATTTATCCAAGTTAGCGTAGAGATACGTAATATATGGAAACCTCTAATCAAGCGGAACACGACCAACTCCCGCCAAACGGTCAGCTCCCGCGTAAAACCAAAGAATTGAAGAGAGGGGATAGATAAAAGCAGTCGAATGTGCTATGAATAGTCAGATCTCGAATGAATAAGTCCGGTTATCACCCGAAGACGAATGTGGATACTAACAATCGAGACGTCGTGAAGTAACTTGGTTTGGAATATTTTAATTTTTAATTTTCATTTCTCATTAATAATTTTTTAATTTTTCAGCTCGTGTTGATAGTTCAATTTTTTTTATTTTTTTTGTTGCTTGTATGTTATGTTATTGTAATTTCAGTTTTTTGCTTAATAAAATTGTTATTTTTTAGCTTATCTTTTTATTTGTTTTACAGATTCTTCCAGGGATTTCAAATCAATTTATAGCATATCAAGACAACGAAAGTCCGAACTGATGAAATGCAACTATAGACTAGTTGCGACACCTGTTCCGCTAAACAATAGCTTTCTAAAAACATTACTATGATCTACGGTTCGATCAGATAAATTCTAATCCAGTTATAACTGTCTGAAAAAGGACGGATCCAATTTCGTTAACCAGTACAGGTGAAAATACTTATTCACTAGTAAAAATTATGTGGCAAACAAGTCAATAAATTAAGAAATATTACAAATCAACAAATAAGGGGATCAAAGGACATAAACTTTGACGACCGAAGATAACTATGTCAAAACTTTTCTTAGAGTTTGTTTGCCGCGTTATTTGCAGGTTTCATGCTTGACGTTTCGCCTACAACTGCGGTAGAGTTATCATAGGCAATAAGGCATTGTAAGACGTATTCTAATTGCCCAGATAATTCATCATGGGATTGGGTTTACAGTTTCATTGTTGGTACTAGGCAAAACTTCATTCCTATTGGTTGAACTAAGTGACGTGTGCAGCCAGACTTCACTAATGTGAACTAATGTTAATAACCTCTTCCTTCTGGTTGAAATTGTTCATTTCCCGAATTCATCTCGCTTTGGAGAGTAGCCCTGAATTCTATCGAGCTCTGGGTCTCTTCATAGTAGATAACCTAGGTACCGTCTCTGAGAACAGAGATGCTACCGATGATTTGTCGGTATGACCCAGACACCTGTTTCTCTGGTGTTCATAAAGCCGTTGAGTACTTACATATCTCTTCATGGTTCCAATGTAAATCGATCCATAGTTACAATGGATCCGATTAACCTCCGGTATTACCTATTAAAGATTCTTTGGGGTCCTTAGTTGACCGAAGACTGTCTTTGGAGCTTTCTCCATCGAAAGGTCTATTTGGAGTTGTATCGTCATTCGGCATTTTCTAAATGATTGAGTTCTTGAAGAGACTCTTAGGTCCACAGATGCTTTGGGACTCTCAATAAAAGTTTCAATTACCTTCGATTCTGTTGTTCCTGGTGAAGAGTTTCTGTTCGGATATATCTCCATGGACATTGGTTTCTTGTACATTACATGACCCAATTCACCATCTACATGTCTGTTAACAGGCATATCCAAGAAGACAACTGCTCCCTGGATTTTCCGTTTCATTGTAAATAGGATATTTGAGTTGAGGAATCTAAACTGTCTTCAATCCGACTGACTCTGTTGCTTTCCTGCTTGGAATCACATGATAAAAAGTAATACCTCAGTTTTCTTTCAACTTGGTCAAACATGTACAAGTCTTTTGTAGGTTTATTGTGTACGAGCAGCTATTTGATGATGTATTTATAATACTGGAATATATTTTGAAACTTTGATCTACTTACTTATAGTTGATAAAAACATGATGAGGAACCCTGCAAACATGGGTACACTGTAGCCAATTCTGAAAAGAAATTTATAATCAGTAATGGTGATTTCTGTAGAGCCAAAAAAATCGTTATTTTCTTTCCACAAATTTCAAATATTTCATACAATGTATGGAAACAAAATTCTCTTTTACAACACAGTAAAATAAATATTTATTGATGTATGGAGCTACAAAAACACATGACATTGAAACGGGAGAATCTTTTGGAACAACCTTATAGATCTGGTGCTGTAATTTTGAGTGACTTACTTTTCAATAGAAGCATTGCTGGGATTCAAAGGATTGCATTCTTACCGAAACTGTGGAAATTACTTACTTGTGAGTCAGTGGACCAACGAATGGATTTGCCAGTAACTGCACAAAAGCCTTCGAGGCGAACATTATCCCCACCTCCACAGTTTCCTGCACTAAATCTTTGTGACGTAATTCGTCCACCGCAGCTTCTGGATCTAGAGTTGTGTAATTATCTGAAACATAAGATGAAAGTGATGACATATCAATTCTCCAACGAATGTTCATTCCGTTTGAGTCTTGATTTAGCACTAAAATATGGTCTTGGGTCAAGAATTCACCAAGTTTCATTAGATAAATATACTGAAATATATTGATTTTTATTATTGAACTCTTGAGAAATCTCTTTATCTGTTCAAGACTTCATTAGGTCTTCTTCAGGAACTCTTGATGTATAAAGATGCAAAAATGGAAATGAGTAACTCAAGCGCTTTCCTGACAGCAAGTACTTTCTCAATATGTAGTGGCAGCGTAGAGAAAGGGTGGGTGTCGCTTATCAGTGTACTGACAAGTTAGTCCTTCTGGTTACATATCCATTATTTTTCGATTCTGGTCATTAGTTTTGAAGGAAATCAGCCCCTCTGATCTGTTTCTGGAAATGAGTAATTCAAGCGCTTTCCTGATAGCCTGTACTTTCTCAATATTGAATAGCAGCGTGGAGAAAGGCTGAATATTCTCAATAATGTGATCTCCGGCAGGATGTATGCTCGACTTTAGTTGCCCCCCAAAGTTGTCGCTTATCGGTGTACTGGCAAAGTTAGTCCTTCTGGTTACATATCCATTATTTTTCGCCCCTATCATCTCCCACTCATCACTTGAATCATTGCTCGTAGCAAAGTCAACAGGAGGTTTCACATCTTTAGTGTAACATTTGAATAACAAGTCAATTTCATCAATATTTTTTCAAAAGTTTTCGTCAAGTCCAAGAATGCAAATGATTTGATTAAGTGAACTGAACAGAATTTGCAGAACTTGACTAACAATGATACTCACCATATTCCGCATCATTCAATGCAGTGGTTGAGTAGTTGTCGATGTTTTGATTGAACTGTTGGCAAGGACAAGGAACGGGAGTTGTTGTTGTGGTGGTTGTTGTTGTTGTTATCCTTGGTCGTCCATCAAGGGGTGCGTCGGGGTGATTGATGTCATACAAAAACTCCGGGATTATAGGAACTGAAAATTACAATGAATGAATGTGATTGAAAAAAGTTCGCAAACGTGTTTATGAAGGTGAGTGAAGCATTAGAACGGTTTGAGTATTTTTTCTCAAAGAACTTATTGAAGGAATGATAAAGTTCCTACGGGTAATATGACGCTTCAAAGATAAATTTGAATTGAAATGAAAAATATTCAATTGAAGGTATTTATTAGACATCGGTTTTATAGTTAGAGCTAGATGGACTTGACACTATAAGAATCGAACTTCGCCTTTTATTTCAATCTGGCAAATTGTAGAACTCTTCATTTATTTGCATGTAAAATTGCAGCATGGGAATATTGAAGACGTTTATTATTATCATCATTATTATTATTGTTATTATTATTATTATTATTCTAAGATATCGCTGTTCGGATCTATCTCCAGAAGCCACGATACATTCGAGAGGGCACGCCAGCATTACCAAGTCATCAACCAATGATCACCTTCCATAGCGTGGGATAAATGATCATTTGGACCAACAATCATGTGCCCTGAGCAAGCGTAGGGAGTTGATAACGACAGCTTTCTGCATTTGCCCGGCTAAGATTTCTGCCTAAGTGCGGCAAGTCGGTATGATTTTGAGATTCCAAAGTAGGGAGGACATCATTCCACCAAGGATTCTATTAATCAAATCAACCACCTTTACTGAGATGGATAGAGTCTGTGGAGTTCGAAGATATTGATATTTTATCCGTTTTTCTTTCTATTTTCGGGCGATATTCGTTTTTCCAGAAGCTGAAAACTCCACGGTAATATCGTCTTGCTCTGATGGTCAAGAGGAACTACATCAGGATTATTGTTTGTATGAACCTGAGGGTGGGGAACGGATAATTCCAATAAATTCAGCAATTACTGTTTTTCACCACAATATTCCTCGAAGTGTAGGATACAATAGTGTCTCGTCAGTACCGTTAGAGTGCCGTAGGTAGTAATATAGCAGTCTTAGGGCCACGTTATGTCGATGGATATAGGCTGGAACCGCAAATGCTGGACATGTTGACAGTAAGTGCATCAGGGTTTCAGGCGTCTTGTGTCAGGAATCTCTATAACCATTACACAACTAAGGTAAAGTATTCTGGTAGGTAAATCCTTCAGTTTCCGACTTCAGTCCACTCGATCTGGGAAAAGGGAAGGTCAGATGTTTTGAAGAGGTCTCGAATCTTGTTGAGAAATGCCCTGTGCTTTGTAGAGTTGTAGAGTTGTAACCACGTCCTTCAGTGTCGAAAACTAAATGGATTTCATCAGCCTCTCGGGCAGCTGCCGTTAAGAGGAATGCTTCAATTCTTGCTATCTCATGGACCCGGACCATGTACAGAAGGGGGTCCGAAATGCTAATCACTCTAGATGCCCCATTCAGTACCATTTTGTCATGCAGACACTCCAAACTCTGCTGTACTTCCCCTGCTGTACTTATCGGAGGAAGTAGTACCGTGGAACGAATGGTTTGGAATGCAAACTCCTTTGGAGTTGATAGAGATTCTCTCAGGTCCATTGCACTACTCTATACTCTGACACAAATCAAAATACGGTTGAATATGTTTGAAATATTCATCTCTAATAGCGTACCTACACAGTTGGTTCTGGTACAGATACATGTGATGTTCCTTTATCGCTTGAGGCTTTGTTCACGAGATGGAGCTATTACTAGTTAATATTTTTCTCAGACGAAAGTTTCATACATGCAGTCGAACCGCGGTTCACCATGGTCCTGCTGCTATAATTCAATGTCCATCGTGAAGAGATAGCTGTTTCAAGATTCCATTTCGAAATATGTACTTTCTTATATGTAAGTATCTGTCACTTAGCTACGCTGAACCGATATACAATAAACAAACAGTCTACAACAGATTCAACAAGATTTTGCCTCACATGACTGTGTTATCCGTAAATGCAAAGCACGAGTAATCCCATTCTTAGAATTCGATATTCACTGCACCTCGAGGCAGGCGAGACACTCCTTCGTTTACTGTAAGGCCTTACGGTGTAGTTAGGCAACTATTAGCAGTGTTTGGCGTCGAGATTGATTTCAAAATAGATTATAAACTCCGATGTCGACAGCTACTCAGCAACTCGAATTATGAGCGCAGACTTGATTAACTTTGGATTTCAATTAGATGACCATAAGTAGATCGCTGATCGATCTACCGAAGGAGATTATGATTGTGATGTCTATCCTCCGGCATCTTTGAAAAATTACGTCGAAATTAGTTCTACAAGTGATATTGCGGTGATCTCGGTTAACAAAAACTAATTTTAAAGCCCTTTTTCACAATGTTATTTGTTTTGTTTCCTCTCCCAAATATTCAAGATCCTATGATATCATTTTTAGACCCCCAAGAAACAAATGTATACATGATGGACTTGAATAGTCCAGCCAAGTCACTCAGGAACACTATCAATAGTTCTCTGAGTCTCAGATACTTCCCTGATCGATGAATGCATGCGGATATTATTATGAAACCAAAAATAGGCCAAGACTCATGATTCCCTCAGAATAACAAACCAAGTCTGTTGGGCTCCATTCGGACGAACAGTTCGGTTCCAGGAGGGCACAGCTCTAAGATTGGTTGGAAACGCACTCCAAGAGATGTATCAAAGGGGATGCAAACAAACCTTTCATTAGACTTCTACTGGAACTTGTCACAAAACATTAATTTGGAGGGATTGACAGATAGTTGACATGACATATGTCAGTGGTTCTAGTGATAAAAGCTGTTACCAACTTTGACTTGTAACGAATTATTTTTGGAAATTTCTACCTGTGCAGCTTTTTTTATTTTAAAGTGAATGTAAGATAATAACATTTGGATTAAAGTATAAAGTACATTATTCTAATAATGCTAGATTGGGTGAATTCATTGAAACATTGTTATAAGGATTTTTTATCTAACGTCAAAAGATAGGAATATATCTCACTAAGATGATTAATATCTGTTTTTTTGTTGATGCAATTTTATTTTCAGCAATGAAGGCCATTTCAAAAAAGGACCTTTTTATTAAATGTGTTTCACTAGCTAAGACCTTAGTGGCATCAAAATTCATATGGTGGTCAAACTTATTGACATGTTCAGCTTTCAGGATGGTGTCTACAATCGCTTTTGTGAGAAGTTATTCTGGAGCTTAAAGTTCTTGACGTTTGTTGGTTCCATTCCTAACTAGTCAGCAACGATTACCTTCTCCTCTATATATTAAAACCAAAGTCACCCAAGCGGATTCGATAAATTCCCCGCACTTTTAAGTTTATCTGTCCGTTAAACCCAGCCGCTCACTGAATTAAACATCGAATAGAATCAACAGATTGCAAATGTACATTTAGTTCCCAGTGAAATATATGGCGTCGCTTTTGGCACCCTGTTTGAAAATGGATGAGCGAATTTCGTTAACATTATACGGGCAATAAGAACGAGAAGGCGAGGATTTATTGAGCTAGCTTTTGTTCCGACGTTATTAGACTATTCAAAACGAAACTTATTCTTTGTGGAAGAAATCTGAGTTTTTCATCGACCTCTTTTGGGGATTTTCACGTTCCTCAATCAGAGGAACATGAAAAAGCCAACTTCTCACTTGTAATTCACATGCCTCAAGCAAACAGCAAATTTTTGAGCTTTTCCATCAGCTGAGATGGCAAAAATTTTCATCTCAATGATGAACAGTAGCTTAGCCGCTGAAGTGTGGTGGTTTTTTTTCAATCTAGATCTAGAACTTATCATTTCTGTTGAACGGAGCTCCATCAGCAGCTCAAAGAAGTTTCCTCAATTTTTGGAATCTTCAGACCCACCAGTTTCTCCTGAAGCAATGGATTGCCGGCCACAAAATAACTCGCAAAGCTTTTAAAAACAACTTATTTTGGTTAACTTCTTCTGAAACTGACAGTTTGAGGAGTGCCAGAAGATGACAGTACTACCAACTGTCGAAAGCGCTCGCAGATAATTAATAGAAGATATAAAGCTTCAAATCCTTTTTGTAGAATTTAATATTGAAATACTGAAAATAAAGGAAAATTAGTTGCATCATTCAAAA